GCATGCAATTTACAACCACCTCAAGGGAGCAGATTGGCCACGGGATTGCTCCTTGCAGCTTCAACGAGGGCATTGGCCAAGTCAGACAGCCATGGAACGTTCGCCGATCCCACTGCACATAAAATAAAATAAAAAACGAAGTAAGCAACAATGTGCCAAAATTTACAAGGCAAATGCAACAAATCCTGAACTGTGGTTGGTTATCAAACTTACAGGCAGCTTGGGGGAGAGCTGCGATGCCTTCACGAATTGCAGACACAATAGAGAGGAGGGACTGGGGGGTGGGAATGCCTGAATCAGGCAAGGGGAAGTAGGGTCGATAGGGATGCAAGAAAAGCAGGAATATATCGTCAGAGTGCTCGGAGAGGAACACCACATCTCTGGACCCGGACGAATGAGAAAACAAACACACCCTGAGTTTGGGGTTTCACTGGTTCTACCACATCACACCGTTCCTCCATTCCCAATCGAAGGTAATGACGGGGGGGGACAGCGTGGGGAGGACACCAAACAGAGAAGAAACAAGAATAGGCATGGCACGGAAGAGAGCGTCTTATCAAGACTGGGCTGTGTTTTGGGCTGTGTTTTGAGTCGACTCAAATCATACCAAGATTGTGCTGCACAGGAAGCCGAGGAGGCTCGGGAATCAGCGAGCCAAGGAAGGGGATGCTCCGAGCCAAGTCGATAGGTACGGCCTGGCGAACGAGGAAGAGGGGGGAAGTTGGGCAGTGGGGAGAGAGAAAGGGGGAGGGGGGGGGAGGAGGCACCTTGCAATGCGGTTTCCTGCTATCCACTCACCACAAGACGGCTTGCAAAAAGAGGAAACGTCGGCACCACTGCCAACAGACAGCCGCAGCTGGTACTGACTGGGGTCCCTCAGAATATTCACTGAGGCCTAGTGCTGCCCCCCTCTCACTAGGCTTCGTTTGATGTCTCTAGTCACTACGAAGCTTACCACTAGTCGACCGGCAAAGGAGGCAGCATCGGCGCCACTGCCAACAGACAGCCGCACCTGGTACTGACTGGGGTCCCTCAGAATATTCACGAGCGCCGCACCCGGCACAGGCACAGCTCCCCACAACCACCCAGAACCCCTGCCCAGGGCTCCCTGTGCTGCCCCTACTGCTGCAGCTACAGGGTTTGCCTCAACTCCAGACAAGCCCCTCCGTGGTGCTCCTGTAAATGGTCCAGCTGCCCCTGATGCCCCTGCCCCTGACCCTGATCCTGATCCCGCCCCTGTCGCCCCTGCTCCTGTCATCGTGCCTACAGTGACACTGGGCCCCTCGGTTGCCCCTGAAGCTCCGCCTAATCCCGCCATTGCACCCGCAAGTGCCGCTGACGCTGCAGTTAAGGCGTCCAAGGGTTGGCTCGAGGAGGGCGAAGAGGAGGCTGCAGCGGAGTTGAGGGGCTGAATGGGAGAGGAAGAGGTGGCTGCTGCAGCAGCAGCAGGGCCCAGGGGTGGAAACGAGGGCACAGTCGAGGAGACTGCTGCAGATACGGCGTCCAGGGGTTGGCTGGAGGATGAGGACGACGACGCAGCTGCAGCGGAGCTGAGAGGCTGCATGGGAGAAGAGGAAGCTGATGTGACACGCGTGGCGGAGCCAGCAGCAGCAGGGGTGGAATCGACAGTCGTACTGATGAGTGGAAGGACGAGGCGGGGTGTAGACGCTGCGAGGGAAGGGGGGGGGGGAGTGAGCTTGTGCGTACGCATATGCTTGTGAGGAAGCAGACGGAGGGGTGGCGTTGATAGAACTGGACGGACTGTTACAACGAGTCTCATCATTGAGCATGTCCCCCACGGTGTAAATCCCAGCCTGCACGTTCTCCCCCGCCCCCTGCGCCACAGAAGGTTGAACCCATACTCTACCCCAACAAAGGAAGAGCAACTCCAAAAACTCACCATTGAGCATGTCCCCCACAGTGTAAATCCCAGCCTGCACGTTCTCCCCCGCCCCTTGCGCCCAGGGAAGAGCGAATCCGACCGTGCCATTGGCTGCGTTCAGGAGCAGCGTGACCACTGAGGCGCCGCCACCTGGCAGAGCCGCTGCACCATTTATACCAGCGGCATTAGATGCATTACCGGGCCTAGCACCGGTTGCGCCAGGAGTGGGAGTGGTGGTAATGGGATTGGGAGCGGTGGAGGTGGGGAGAAGGATGGGCGTGAGGTTGGCCTGAAGGCCGCCTAAGAGGAGAGGTTGGAAGGGCGAGGAGAAGGGGGAAGGAGGGGAGGACGAGGGAGCGGACGACGAGAGGGGGATGGAGGAGGGCGGGGAGGAGGAAGGGGAGGAGGAGGAAGGGGAGGAGGAAGGGGAGGAGGAAGGGGAGGAGGAAGGGGAGGAGGAAGGGGAGGAGGAAGGGGGGGAGGAGGTAGATGGGCGGATGGGGGGCTGCTGCTGACCGGGTGTGGGCTGCGCGTCTGCAGGAACGGAGTGGGAGAAAGAGGGAGCATGAGAGGGTAAGGGAGGAATGAGAGAATATGGATTGAAGAGGAGGAATGGGGAATGGAGGGAGCGGGCGCAGAGCAGGCAAGAGAGGGTGAGGGAGGTGTGGGCGGTGTGGGTGGTATGCGAGCTGCGGGGAGGTGTGGGTGGTGTAGGTGGTATGCGAGCTGCGGGGAAACAAGAGAAATAAGCGAGGGAGAAAGAAAGAGCGGTGAGACGACAGGAAATTGGGTTTCCTCACCAGCAGCGATGAGGAGGAAGAGAGCCACGAAGACCACCGCTGCAGTAGCACGGAACGGAAGTGAAGGCCGCGTCGCCATCGTTTCCACCCAGCAGATCGCAGAGATTTGAAACTTGCAGAGATAAGCACAGTGGATGTGCACAGTGGATCTCTGGAGATAAGCACACGCGGTTTTGAGGTCTCAAGGGGACGAGGCGGCAGGCAGTGCTCGTCAGACGCCGGTGAATCAGAGTGGCTTGGCACGGGTCAGTGTCTTTGAATGGCGGACTCTGCTTGAGTGGCAGGAAGATCGCCAGTCAATGTCGATGCAAGCGTCGCTGCTCGATTAACGCACTGAGACTCCTCAGCCTCACGCTCCGCTTAAGTAGTCACTGGGAGCAGAAGCTGACTGCGACTCGGCCTGCCAAGCTGGCAAGTGGTTCCACCGTCGAACGCTCATGAGGAACATTGACGGTCGGTGTGCCCGCCCTGACGGTTAGAGTGTTTTGACCGTCAGAGGGCGGCAATCAGTCGGACGGACCGATTGGCCTGTCACGGGTCAGATGTGCTTTGGTGACCGGCTGTCCCTCTGGCGACCGGCTGTCCCTGTGGCGACCGGCTGTCCCTCTGGCGGTCAGATATGTCCTTTGGCGACGTGGCGATTGGTCAAACGACTCGTCGCATAGAGGATCTGTCGGTCTGGCTGTCGGATCTGTCGTAGAGTAACGTCTCTCAGTCGCACTGACTGACTGTCGCACTGGCTGCTGGTCTGTCTGTCGGATCTGTCGTAAAGTAACGTCTCTCAGTCGCACTGACTGTCGCCTTGTCTGTCAGATCTGATTCGTCTGCCTGCTTTCGAGTCTGCGAGAGTGCTTTCGAGAGCCTGCCAGTCTCTGCCTTCCTGCCCGCATAAGCGGCCTGGCGAGTCACCACCGCGATCGGCTGACCGACAGCAAGACGACGGTCAGTCAATCATCGCCGGCAATCCTGGACAGGGTCAATCGATTTGGCCGATCTGCTCTAGTGATGGCAAACCGACCGACCGGCAAACCGACCAGCACTCGAAGCAGCCGTCAAAAGGCCAGACTAGTTCAACCGTCAAGTTGCCCCCTGTTTTTGAGATATGTGTTCTCAAAAACACACCGCCAGTCTCATCACCGTGCTTCGAGTGCGTCGATTGACTTTCGACCGGCTGGCACTCGAAGCAGCCGTCAGCTCTTGGGACGAGTCGTCGGGAGTCGTGACGGGTCGATTACGAGTAGTCGAGCAAACGGACAATTCATGCGCCTGTTGCGCCTGTCGTGCCTGTCGCGCCTGGCTCAACGAAGTGTCATCTTGTCGCCGAAAACGATAAACAGCGAATCTCGAGGGACCGCCCGAGCAACGCGGTGCCCTATCGACCCTCGTCGTTCGCCCCGCCCGCTGGCATCATAACGTTTCCATCACGCCACGCGAGGCGAATGGAGTAGCGAGTCATGAGGAAAAACCGAGGAAAACCGAGGAAATGAGTCCCAGGTCCTGGGCCTCGACTCCTGACTGCTCCCCGGCAAAACCGAGGAAATGAGTCCCAGGTCCTGGGCCTCGACGCCTGACTGCTCGCCGGCAAAACCGAGGAAATGAGTCCCAGGTCCTGGGCCTCGACTCCTGACTGCTCGCCGGCAAAACCGAGGAAATGAGTCCCAGGTCCTGGGCCTCGACGCCTGACTGCTCGCCGGCAAAACCGAGGAAATGAGTCCCAGGTCCTGGGCCTCGACTCCTGACTGCTCGCCGGCAAAACCGAGGAAATGAGTCCCAGGTCCTGGGCCTCGACTCCTGACTGCTCGCCGGCAAAACCGAGGAAATGAGTCCCAGGTCCTGGGCCTCGACTCCTGACTGCTCGCCGGCAAAACCGAGGAAATGAGTCCCAGGTCCTGGGCCTCGACGCCTGACTGCTCGCCGGCAAAACCGAGGAAATGAGTCCCGGATTCACCCGCGTTTCCCAATCCTCTGCGCCTTTCCTCGGTTTTGCCGCCAGACGCGTGCTGCGTGGATCTACAGGGACAAACGTCAGCAAGGCAGTGCATGCGAGGTGCGTCGATGCACACACAGTACACGCAGGTGTGGATGCCATGGCTGTCGCACAGTCGGAACTTCTGAGGCGACTTATCTTCCTGCCTGCTATGTTTTGACTGGAGTGCAATTAGTCACTGGGTGAGCAGGCTTGGCTTCGAGAGCGTGTGCTATCCTCGTTACAAACCAATGCTGTTCCCAACACACAGCCGTACCGAGAGAGCTATCCTCGTCAGTTACCTACGATGCCGCACACATGCAAGACCATCTACGAGAAATCTTGGTAGCTTGCCCAAGATAAGACATCACTCAGGGAGAAACACTGGTTTGAAATAGATTGTGTTACGTATGTGACCAATAACCGCCTGGTGCTCCTGTCTGTGCAATTACACTTCTTGTGCTGCCCTCTCCCTAGCCTGCTAGGGGTTCCACCAAATTCCGTGACACGCACATGCCATATGCCATGGTACAATGGGTACACCTGCCATCCAAGGCACTGCCAGAACTGGTAGGTGTGGAGAGGTGGCAGGCTCATTTCAGCACAAAGCATCTTCTGCTGATGGGCATTGGCACAACTTTCTGTTCCTTGGATGCGTAAAATCTTGCACTTGTCAACAGACACTGCCCTGCTGTAATGATCCGCGTTTGGTAGGCCCCCCAAGTGGTTGAACTTTAACACATGAAACATATAAAAAGACACAAAAAGGGGAGAATAACAACGGCAGAAACGGTGGGAAAAGAAGGGGTAAATGGTAGCAACTGAAATGAGTTTTCACCGAAGGGTGGCTCAACGCATCTGTTTTCAATGAGTTCAATACCGGTAGTGGCGACAACTATAGCGATGACAGACATTCACCAGGGAACAAGCAAGCAACGGAACAAAAGCGCAGCACAGAATGGGAAGAGACAGCAACTAAAAACCCCCAAAAGTGTAGTATGGGATGAAGTGGTAAAGACAAGGGGGCCAAAGTGAAAGTGGGGGCGGAAGAGACGAGGGTGTGCCAGGGGAGGGGGGAGAAGGAGGAGGAGGGGGATGGGGAAGAATGGAGAGGGAGGGGGTGGGATCGGGACGAAGGAATGATGCAAGTAGAGCAGGAGGACGGGGGGCGAGCATTGCGGGTAGGAAACAAGAGGAAACAAGTCAAGGGGGTCGGGTCGAAGCAGTGCTCAGGAGAGAGAGCTAACCTGTGACATCAGATGATGCCCAGTCCTTTTCGCCTGTGACATCAGGACAGCACCCCACTCCCTTCCTTGCTTGCTGAGAAGCCCGTCTGCCTGTGAATGATTCCAACTTCCACTTGAGTGCTAAGTCAAGGCCTCACGCTTGCTCCAAGAGCCCATCAGAAGCAGCCCGGTGACTTTTGAGTCGACTCAGAAGCCAAGCCCTCACACTTGCTCCGTCCCAAGGCCTATCAAACGCAGTCCGCCAGCCAGCCAGTCAATCCGTCCCTCAATCCTCCAGCCAGCGAGTCAGTCAGAAGATTCTGTCAGTCTAACCGGTCAGACAGCTACAGAGCATGGCGGTCAGTGAGCATTTCAGTCAGTCAGGTCTGTCAGTCCGTCAGTCTGTCAGTTTGTCAGCCAGTCAGTCGGCCCAGTCAGCATTCAGTCAGACAACCTCAGGGTACATACGCTCAAACCCCGCCTCTGCTATGAAAAAGATCATCTCTTTGTCCACACTCTCAGTCCCAATCCGTGTTGCACTGCTCACTTCCATCCACCCCCTCATCTCCCGTCCTGCCCCTCAAAGCGGTCCGTGGTGTCCATGATGGGGGGGCATTCATGCGAGCCTTGCTTAGAGGCGGCTCACTCCATCCCCTCATCTCCCCTCCTGCCCCTCGAAGCCGTCAGTGATGTCAACGCGGGTCTTGCTTTGCTTTGAGGCGGCTCAAGCCACGTTCCTGATAGCACTCATCTCCCACCATGCCCCTCCATCCCCTCATCTGCCCTCCTGCCCCTCGATCTGGTCCATGATGTCAACGCGGGTCTTGCTTTAAGGTGGCTCAAGCCACGTTCCAAATGGCGCTCATCTCCCTCCATGCCCCCTCCACCCCTTCATCTGCCCTCCTGCCCCTCGATGCGGTCAATGAGGTCAACGCGGGTCTTCCTCCTCCACCCCTTCATCACTGAAACCAGGTTGATCAGCGATATCACCTGCGCCCGGGAATACTCCTGGAAGCGGGCACAAAGAGAGAGCACGGATGGAGGAAGAGAACAGTTTTAGCCAACCAGCTCTGGTGAAAGAGGTCAACATGATTCTTCCTCCTCCACCCCTTCACACTGCAGCCAGGTTGATCAGCAAGACAATCTGAGCCCGGGAATACTCCTGAAAGACAGGAGCAAAGGAGCGCTCCTTCGCTCCTTTGCTCAGTCAGCACCAATCCATGATTGAAATTGGAAGGCGATTCATCAGAATATTTCCAAAAGCACCTAGTGGTGAGCACCAATCGATGCATGCTTGATCTTGGGGGAAAGCACAATGCTCGAGCAGATGAACCCAGGACTACAACGTATGGGCATTTGAAGGGGGGACGCTAGCCCAATAATCACATTTGGGTGGTGCTGTTATGAGCTTACTCACAGGATGAGTGAGATGGTTACATCACAACTGGTATGGGTGATTATTTGATTACTTACATGATGGCCGAGAGCTCAGTGTTGAGAAAAGAAGGAAATCACGCGGGTATTGGCTCATACACGTACAGGGTTACGCACAGGGTGGTTATGATGGTTACAGCATGGCTGGCATGATAGGTTACCCGGTTACTTACAGGATGGCTAAGAGCCCAGTAGAGGTACTCTGTCTCTGGCAGGTAGAATGCCTGCAGGGGAAGGAGTGGTCATTTGGACAGTATAAGGAGCAAATATTTAGTTGTTACGCCTTGCGTTGGGGTGAGAGCGGGAGAAATGACTAGAACTGATGAAAGGGGACCAGCCCTGCTGCGTGCCATGGGATGGTTGGAGTATGACAAAATTCACTATCATTGCACATGTTTCATATGGCATGTTCCATGGCTTATGAAGATATCTTTGAACTCCCACACTAAGTGGGAAAATTCGCTAGGGTCCCCCAGCGTTTTGCGTAAATTCGTACGCGTAAATTCGCGTTTGCGAATTTAGCTGAAATTCACGAAACGCTGGGGGGAAATTTTTGGGGCAGCCCAGACAAAAAAACACGAATCTATCTTCGTGATTCACGACGACACGGCGAAGCCATCCGTGGCCTCGCCAATTCGCGATTCCAACTTTTGACCCCCCAAGCATGCTTCCAACCCCTCCCAAGCTCCCAACTGCATCAAACCCCGCATCTAGAAAACCAAACCCATCACGCATCTCACGCTACTCTACCCAGACCAAACCAAACCCATCTCACGCTACTCATCACGCACCACACAACTTACGCAACCCTATCACACATTCCACGCTACTCTACCAGAGGTAGCGCTAACCTAATCCCTCCGTGTCTTAGCTAGTTGATCAAGTTTAAGCACAGACTTGAGCTTACCGCACGAAAATCCGAGCTGCAATGTTGAACCTCCCAATCAGGGTGCTGCTAGTGAGTGAGGACGCGACAGGCGATGTATCAGGTTGAACTTTGAAAAGCAATATTTATTTTGTGCTAAAACGTTTTTGCTTGCTTGCTTGAAAAGTGCTGCGCTAACACCCCCCACGCCCCCAATACCCAGGAACCGTTTTTTTGCCTGCCCGGGCAATTTTTTCCTGCCCGGGCTGAACGACTTTCCCAACGAATTTAAAATGGAGCCCTGGCGTATGGGCGAATTTACGCCAGCCTAGATTCGCTAGCGAATTTACGTGGAACGCGAATTTCCCACTTAGCTCCCACATACATCTCTAATGAGACCTGCAAGAACCCGTGTACATATATATATACATATATATATATATATATGTATGTATATATATATACAATTTTCCTCCTTCAGGGTTCTTGCAGGCCATGCATCCACCTCACCCATGAAACAGGCCTTGCGAGAGGCTTTTCAGAACTCTGAGAAAGCTCCTTGGCCACAGAAACGCGCTGCACCGCAGTGCATGTATGTACTATGGATGCAGGTGTAGCACTTGCATTGTACACACTGGGCAATGATTCACGCAAGTAACCATGGTACTCGTTACGATATGGTACTACCTACAGTTGTAACAACCTGCATTGCCATCAGTTGGTCATGGGAAACTTCACGTAAAAGGTATTATTAAAGTCTCACCTTGATGTAGTTGTCAACTATTTGCATGTCTGGTCGGCGCCCTGTGAGCTGCTGCAAGCCGTTGATCAGAGTCTGCACGGGGTGAGAGGGGGAAGGGGGGTTGGGTGGGGAGGGAAATGGGAGTTGGGGGGAGGGGGGAGGGTAATGGTTGATGGGCTCTCAGTGACTTGAGTCGTCTCAAAATGCCATGTGAGCTGCTGCAAGCGGTTGATGAGAGTCAGCAAGGTTGTAAAGAGGGTGGGAATGACGGGAGAGGGGGAGGTGAGGGAGGGGATGGGGGGAACAGGGGGAGGAGAGTAATGGGGGGGGGGGGGGGGGGGGGGGGGAGGGTGGACATTTTACATTATTAGTGACCAATAAGGTGCTGTAAAGTGAATCACAGGACCTTGTTGCGCACAAAATCACCATGGGAGTACGATGGGTTGGGGAGAATTGGTTTTTGAGAATTCTCAAAAACCAATTCAACTGGCATGAAACCTTAACAGAAGTTATGGCACCGCCGCTCTTACACTATCGTGCCTGTCACACACAGCACCAGCCCATACCTCGTATCGCAGCTTACAATATCTTGTCGTGCAGATACCTGTAGGTCGAGAGACATGAGCGCCCGCCCCTCGTTAGAGCACTAAACGAGCGCTGTATGACAAATTTGATTTGGGAAAATCCCCTATTCCCTCTCCCTCTTTTTTGTCAAATACCTGTAGGTCGAGAGACATGAGCGCCCGCCCCTCGTTAGAGCACCGCTTGACGCGTGAAAAGCCCTCCACAAGCACATCTGCCACTGCCTCCAGTGCAAACTGCACCAGCTGCTGCTGCACCTGTGGGGGTCAAATCAGGGGACGAACGGGTCGCAGGGAAGACAAAACAGGTCGGTTAACATGAGAAAAGCCCTCCACAAGTACGTCTGCCACCCCCTCCATTGCAAACTGCACCAACTGCTGCTGCACCTGTGGGGGTCTATAGACACAGACAGGACAGGGAGAAGCCACAGGGGACGAACGGGTCACAGGGAATACGAAACAGGTACATTACAAGGAAATGGCCCTCCCCTAGCACATCTGCCACCGCCTCCATGGCAAACTGCACCAGCTGCTGCTGCTGCACCTGCACCGTGGGTGGGTGGAACATGGGGGGGGGGGGGATGGATCACTATTAACAGGGGAAGTGGAGCACAGGTAGCAGCAGAATGCACACCCTCCTGCAGCACGTCTGCCACCGCCTCCATTGCACACTGCACCAGCTGCTGCTGCACCTGTGGGGGTCCAACACCCAAACACAAACACCTGCAGGGGGATGCCGAGGTGGTTGAGTCGCTGCAGCAAGAGTCGACCTTTGAGGCGAAACACAGCCAGATGCTGACGAGGTGGGTGTGGGATGAGAACTGCCGACACCTGCAGTGGGATGCCCAGGTGGTGTTTGAGACGACTCGAAAAGAAGTTGACGAGGAGGGGGGACGTGAGAATCTGTGCCGCTGCGGGGGGGATGTTCGAGTAGACGATACCTGCAGTGGGATGCCGAGGTGGTTCAGTCGCTGCAGCAGGAGGCGGAACTCCGATAGCAGCGCGTCCACGTAGCTGGGGGGGGGGGGGGGGGAGAGAGGGAGGAGGGGTGGTGGGAGGGGGGTGTAGGGAGGGCGGGTAACAGGGGGCGGATTGAGAGGGGATGAAGGGCGAAACAAGAGGCGAAACTCTGATAGCAGTGCTTCCACGTAGCTGGTGGGGGGGAGAAGAGAGGGAGGAGGGGTGGCGGGAGATGAGGTAACAGGGGACGGTATGAGAGCAGGTGAAGGACAGAGCAGGCGAAGGACAGAGCAAGAGTCTGCTTTTGAGTCGACTCAAAGGTATGAGAGCAGGCGAAGGACAGAGCAAGAGTCTGCTTTTGAGTCGACTCAAAAGTATGAGAGCAGGCGAAGGACAGAGCAAGAGTCTGCTTTTGAGTCGACTCAAAAGTATGAGAGCAGGTGAAGGACAGAGCAAGAGAGGCGGAACTCCAAAATTAGTGCGTCCACGTAGCTGGCAGGCAGTGTGTGTGTGTGGGGGGGGGGGGGGGGGGGGGGGGGGGGTGGAGAGACGTGGGGGGAAGAGGAGCAGGGGCTGAGACGAGGGGGAAGAAGGACATAGTAGAGGCGGAACTCCGACAGCAGTGCGCCCACGTAGCTGGCGGGGTGGGGGGAGGTGGGGTGCCAGGGACGATTTGAGTGAGGAGTAAGGAGAGAGAACGAGGCGGAACTCCAATAGCAGTGAGAGAGTTCCCACCAGCTGTGCTGATGAAGGCTCTCTCAATCCTCCGCATAGCTGGTGGGACGCTCCTGAATGCATGCACTTATGCATGAGAAAAGTGGAGGGACCAGCATGTATGCCTCTGCATGCATGGCACAGATACGGGCTGTGGTAAGACGTGACGTCGTGGAACTCCTACCACGTGATGAGCATGCATGTATGAACGATAATCGAGTGGCACATGTGCCTGCATGGCACACGTACGGGCTGTGGTAAGACGTGACGTCGTGGGACTCCCATCTTCCTGCTGCGATCTTGTCCGCGTAGCTGGTGTAGCAAAGAAGAGGGAGATGCACGGAGATGTAAGGAGATGTGAGGAGATGCAAGGAGATGCAAGGAGATGCAAGGAGATGCACGGAGATGGGATGGAGATGTGAGGGAGATGTGGGGGAGAGAGAGGCAATGACCAGAGGAGAGAACGGGGGACAGGGGGCACGCCTATTAACACGAAGGGCAGGCAGAAGGGGGGGGGGAGACATCTTATGAACAAAATCTGGATGGCAAGAGAGGAGACGGGCAGCAGGTGCTTTCTGAGACAATAAAAGAAACGTCCCAGGGGGGGAGGTAAGGAGTGGAAGGGGGCAGGGGGTGGGGGTGCGTGGGTGGGTGTTGTGGGGGGAGGGGGGGAAAGTGGTGGAGGGAGACGAGGGGGGGTGAGAAAGGGGGGCGTGATGGAGAGGGTATGAGATGTGATGGAGAGGGTATGAGATGTGATGGAGAGGGTATGAGAAGCTCCGGTTTACATCCGCTCAGGTTGTGAGGTGTCACGAAGCTTACCTGCTGAAGTTGATGAGGAGTCGAGCGGCTGTTCTCAGCACGTGCTCACAAAGCTCCGGCACCACCTCAAGCTGAACGGGGCATGGGTTGAGGCGGGAGAGATGGGAGAGAAAGCGGGGAGAGAGCGTGGGGAGAGAGAGCGGGGAGAGAGAGCGGGGAGAGAGAGCGGGGAGAGAGAGCAGGGAGAGAGAGCGGGGAGAAGGACAGCTTGTAAGCGGTGGTGTGAATGGGAATAAAAAGGCCGTCCTCAGCGCATGCTTTCAGAGCTCTGGCACCACCCACCACCCAGTCAGCACATGCTCTGGCGCATGCTTGGCTGAGAGGAGTTGGTAGGGGTGGGCCGTGGGCGAGGTACGAGGGAGTAGGAAGCAGTGGAAAATGGAAATTCTGAAAGGCAATGCTGTTCACATCGCATGCTCACAGAGCTCTTGGTGTATTTTGAGTCGACTCAAAATACACCTGTTCACATCACGTGCTCACAGAGCTCCAGCACGACATCGCGCTGAGAGCGTGGTGAGAGGATCAGAAAGAAAGGAGAGGGGCGAGGTGGGATCGGAGGGATGCGACATGGGTGATATACAGGCCACGGGCCGACTGGCATTCTCAGCACGTGCTCACAGAGCTCCAGCACCACCTCGAGCTGCACGGGGCGAGGGATAAGGGGGGCGGGAGGAGAGGGGAGAGGTGGACAGAGTGAGACGTGGGTGATATACGGGTACACTGCGGCCCTCAGCACGTGCGCACAGAGCTCCGGCACCACCTCGAGCTGCACGGGGCATAGGTTGGTGCGAGAGAGAGGGTAGAAAGACGATTGATAAGCGGTGGTCTGAATGGGAATCAGAGGGCCGTCCTCAGCACGTGCTCACAGATCCCTGGAACCACCTCCAGCTGAGACGAGATGGTGAACGGGTAATGAGGGGATTGGTAATAGGGTGAAAGACGTGAGACATGGAAGTGAAAGGCTGCTCTCAGCACGTGCTCACAGTGCCCCGGCACCACCTCCATTGGAGGAAAAAAAAAAGGAAACGAAAAGGCACCACCTTTCAGAATTGGGAGAAACGGCCTCCAGCACAAAAAGTGGCTTACAGTTTCCGCCTTCAGGGTACAAGCCATGGCGTGTTTTGAGGTGTCTGTAACATGAGGAGGAATATTACCTCAAGTATGAACCCTGTGAACATGTTTACACCAAACAACCTCAAGCACAAAAAGAGGCTTACAGTCGTATTTTGAGTCGACTCAAAATACATGGACTCAAAATGCATCGACTCAAAATACACGTGAACATGTTTACGACAAACAAACTCAACCACAAGAAGAGGCTTACAGTCTCAGAGTAGTAGGACTCTAGGAGCGGCCATGACGTGTATTGAGAACGACTCGAAGCACACAGTGAATACCCTCAAGCACAAAAAGAGGCTTACAGTCTCGGAGTAGTAGAACTTCCACTCATCAACTCTAGGAGCCGCCATGCCCATGATGCCTTGGGCAGGTGTGAGAGGAACCTCGGCCGAGCTGCCTATTTTTCAGTCGACTCAAAACAACCTTACCGTCTCGGAGTAGTAGGACTCGAGGAGTGGCCATGATGCCTTGGGCAGGTGTGAGAGGAACCTCGGCCGAGCTGCCTATTTTTCAATCGACTCAAAACAACCTTACCGTCTCGGAGTAGTAGGACTCGAGGAGTGGCCATGATGCCTTGGGCAGGTGTGAGAGGAACCGCTGCCGCGCTGCCTGCACCACTTGCGCCAGCCACAGCAGCGACTCAATTGCCACACACCGCTCCTGGGGGTCGGATTAGAAATTGGGGGGGGGGGGGGGGTCGGGAAGGGGAGGGGAGGGTGTGGGAGATGGGAGGTGGGGCCGGTGCATTTGGACAGTGGGAGAGGAGCTTCTGTCACAGCAGCTCCTCTTGTGCCGCCTGCACCACTTGCGCCAGCCACAGCAGTGACTAAATTGCTACATACCGCTCCTGGGGTTCGGTATGGGGAAAGAGAGGGCGAGAGAGGGGGGAGGTGGGGAAGGTGGGGAGTGTGGATTGTGGGCGGGGTGGTGCGTTTGACAGGCGCGAGAGGAACTTCTGCCTCACGATCCTGCACCACTTGCACCAGAAACAGCAGGGACGCGATTTCCACACAGTAAAGGAAAATTGGGCACATTAACCCTTAGGGCGTAGCATAAAAAATAATCACCCTGGCTGGGAGCGCAATTCCAAGCCATTTCAATGTAACAACAAAAATAGTTGAGAAAAGCATCCAAATGCCGGTAGTATGATCAGAGCAGAAACAGTGACTTGAATGCTGATTCTGGAAGAGGTGTGAATACTGGAAGACTCAGAATACTCACCCTGAGCGCGTAGAAGTTGGAGGAGGAAATAAGCACCCTGGTGCCAGTCCTGCCATCAAACAGACTCGGTCGCACTCCCACACTCCCATTGCCCCCTCCACCACCCCTCTTCCCACCACCACCGCCACCGCCACCACCACCAGCAGCACCAGCAGCAGCAGCAGCAGCAGCTGCGCCTGAGGCCCCTATGGTGGCTTCAAGAGAAGAGGCGGCGGCTGCAGCAGCAGCGGAGGCAGCAGAGTCAGAGAAGGAGGGTGGCGAGAGAGGGCGCAGGCCCATGGCCTCGAATTTCTGCAGAATCTTTGTGAGCACCGTGCGGAGCTTGGGGGATAGCACTGGCAGTGGCAGGTGACACAGAAGGGAAGGGGAAGAAAGAAAAGGACGGGCGAAGACAGAAGAGTCAGTGAGGGAGGGCGGCGAGAGAGGGCGCAGCCCCATGGCCTCAAATATCTCAACACGTGGCAGAAATTTCGTGAACGACGCGACTTATGACCAATTTTCAAAGACTCTATACCATTTCTCAGACACTCTTTACCATTTTTCAAACACTCTTTACCATTTCCCAGATACTCTTTACCATTTTCCAGAGACTCTTTACCAATGTTCAAAGATTCTTTACCATTTTTCAAAGTTTCTTTACCATTTTCCAGAGACTCTTTATAAATTTTCAGAGATTCTTTACCATTTTCCAGAGACTCTTTATCATTTTTCAGAGATTCTTTACCATTTTCCAGAGACTTTTTATCAGTTTTCAGAGATTCTTTACCATTTTCCAGAGACTCTCAACCATTTTTCAGAGACTCTCAACCATTTTTCAGAGACGCAGTGCAGAGCTTGAGGAAGCTTGGGGAATACGAGTTCTTAGGCGCCCCAAAAGTCACCCTTTGTAAGGTCAGCAGTGCAGAGCTTGGGGGACGCGCATCAGAAGCATAGGCAGAGCTTGGGGGACGTGCAGAGTCTTACAGTGTGCATAAGCTGGGTCAGCGGATCTTAGGGCACTGAAGGCCTCTCGATGGCCAAAGATGCGGAAGACTGTGATGAGGTAGAGGTCGAAGAGCTGCCACACAGACTGAGGGAGTGGAAGGGAGGGGAGCGGGATAGCAAAAGGAGAGGTACAGGCATTTAATGCCTTGTGATGACCAAAGATGCGGAAGACTGTGATGAGGTAGAGGTCGACGAGCTGCCACACGGACTGAGATGGAGAGGGTGGATGGAAGGGGTGGTGGGGGGGGGGAAGAAGACAGAGGAAGCAAGGAGAGAGAAGGGCGTTAAACGCCCTAAGATGCGGAAGACTGTGATGAGGTAGAGGTCGAAGCGCTGCCACACGGACTGACAGGCAAGATTGTGTGTGGAGAAAGAGGGGGGAGGAGAGAGAGGGGGGAGAGGGGGGAAAGGGGGGAGATGGGGGAGGGGGAGGAGTAGCGATGGAAGGGAGGAAGCACAGGAGCCACACAAAAAAAACAAGACGGATCTATACAGGAGAAGAGAGGAGAGAGGGCGCCGGAAGATAGGCGTTTACTGGAAAGCGTGATAAGGCAGCTCGCTGTGCTGGTTGTTGACTTTGAAGTCGACCCAGAAGGAAAGCGTGACAAGGCAGCTCGATGTGCTGGTTGTTGACTTTGAAGTCGACCCAGAAGGAAAGCGTGACAACATAGCTCGATGTGCTGGTTGTTGACTTTGAAGTCGACTCAGAAGGAAAGCGTGACAAGGCAGCTCGATGTGCTGGTTGTTGACTTCGAAGTCGACTCAGAAGGAAAGCGTGACAAGGCAGCTCGATGTGCTGGTTGTTGACTTTGAAGTCGACTCAGAAGGAAAGCGTGACAAGGCAGCTCGATGTGCTGGTTGTTGACTTTGAAGTCGACTCAGAAGGAAAGCGTGACAAGGCAGCTCGATGTGCTGGTTGTTGACTTTGAAGTCGACTCAGAAGGAAAGCGTGACAAGGCAGCTCGATGTGCTGGTTGTTGACTTTGAAGTCGACTCAGAAGGAAAGCGTGACAAGGCAGCTCGATGTGCTGGTTGTTGACTTTGAAGTCGACTCAGAAGGAAAGCGTGACAAGGCAGCTCGATGTGCTGGTTGTTGACTTTGAAGTCGACTCAGAAGGAAAGCGTGACAAGGCAGCTCGATGTGCTGGTTGTTGACTTTGAAGTCGACTCAGAAGGAAAGCGTGACAAGGTAGCTCGATGTGCTGGTTGTTGACTTTGAAGTCGACTCAGAAGGAAAGCGTGACAAGGCAGCTCGATGTGGTGGTTGCACTGATGATGTCACATCGATGGTGGGCTCACCATGATGACGTCAGCAGAGATGGGTCCCAGGGAGAACACCAGAGTGACTTGATAGTCCATCAACCTGGGGGTTGGGCGGGCGAAGGGGGAAGGGATTTGGCAGAGATGGGTAAGGCAGGATATGGCAAGGTATGGCAGGGTATGGCAGGGTATGGCACAGGGAAGTGAGCACAGGGAAGTGAGCTCACTACACCGCACGACACCGCACGACACCGCACGACACCGCACGACACCGCACGACACCGCACCGACACTGCACCGACACTGCACCGACACTGCGCCGACACTGCACCGACACTGCACCGACACTGCACCGACACTGCACCGACACTGCACCGACACTGCACCGACACTGCACCGACACTGCACCGACACTGCACCGACACTGCACTGACAAACCCAACCCACCTGACATCACCGAGAGCCACCCGGCCATCGCTCTGCGACCGACCCAGGAGAGAGCCAGGCAGTTGAGAGGAGGGAAGGCCGACTCACCTGACAGCACCGAGAGCCGATGCCGTGGCAGTGACTCCCGGCTCCTCCCCCTTCCCTGCCTTCGCTCCCTTCCCCCCCTTCCCCCAGGAGAGATCAACCCGCCACCTCCGTCCTTCCCACTGCCCTGCCATCTCCTCCCCTGCCCCACCCGGCCATCGCTCTGTGACCGACCCAGGAGAGAGTCAGGGGGCTGAGAGGAGGGTGCAGATGGCACCCTGGCCGTCCCACTCCTCTGCACCCCTACTCCCACCCCCCCGATCCTCCCGACCCCCTTCCTCCTCTTCCCCCTCCTCCCCTTCCTCCTCCTCTACCTCCTCCTCTTCCTCCACTTCTGCTTCTCTCCACCCTGCCGTCGCTCCTGCTGCTGGCTGTTGCTTCTCCTCCTCTGCCCCTCGTCTCTTTCTCCTGCTCTCTCGCTCCCACGCCCTCCCCCTCATCATCCTCGTCAATGTAATCAGCAAGCAACTCCTCACTCTCTTCTTCATCCTCCTCCTCCTCTTCCATCCCCCCCTCCTCCTCCTGCTCTCTCATTCTTGACTGCCCACTCCCAATCCCCCTCAAGCTGTTACTTGCTCCCATAGCACCACTTTGATCACGACAAACAGCGCCAGTGGGGTCGCTACGAACAGCAGCAACAACAGTGGGACTCCCAGCAGCAGCAGCACCGCCACCACCACTCCTACCGCTGCTGTAGCTACTGCTTCTCAAATCAAACCCACTGCCCCAGCTGCCACCGCCACCGCTAGCACCAGCAGCAGCAGCACCAGTGGGAGTAGGGGCGGCGTTTCTTGGAGCTACTCGCTCGGAGCTGTACTGCCGCAGTTCATTCACCCCTTCCGCTGAACTCCCAAACCTGCCCGCCCCATACGCACCTCCCCCAGAAAACCCTGCTCCATATGCTCCTGGGCTCTGAGCCGCCGAATGAGGGCTCGATCTTGCAGATCCTCCTTCCCTCTCTCTTTCCCTCTCCCTCTCCCTATCTCGCTCCATATCCATAAACCTATCTCTCAGCATCTCCCTGTCTCTATCCCGCACCCTCTCCCTCGCCACCTCCCCCCTCCCCCCCTGCGATACCACCACCAGCTCCCGCAGCATTCCCTGCGGCCCGTCCCACCCCACACCACCACCACCACTGCTACCCCCTCCCCCTCCGCCTCCCCCTACTCTTCCCCGGCCGCTTGCAGCGTCTAGCTGCTCCCTCCCGCCCCTCACATGCTCCACGTTGAACGGCTGGTCCAGCTGCATCCATCGGCTGAAATCCCACACAGACCCTGCCTCTCCGCCACCATCTCTTCCCACTCCGTCCCTGCCTCCTCGCTCTCCTCCCCCGTCTCCGTCCTCTCCTCCCCCACCGCCACGCCCAGCAAGCGCAGAGCCGCTTGGACAAGAGGGCAGCATTTTGTTGGGCGTGCGCGCAAGAGTGGAGCGGGCGGACGTGAGACGGTGCACCTCGGGGGCTTGCAGGGCAGAGGGGGGTAGGGGCTGCCAAGTCTCTCGCTCTACCATCATACGCAGAACCTGTGAGGAGGGGGAGGGATGGAAAGAACGATGGAGGGAAAGGGTAGAGCGGGCGGAAGTGAGATGGTGAACTCCGGGGGCTTGCAATGCAATGCGGAGGGGGGTAGGGGCTGCCAAGTCTCTCGCTCTACCATCGTACGCAGTGCCTGTGAGGTGGGAAGGGAAGGGATGACACGGGGTTTAGAGGGAAAGAGTGGAGCGGGCGGAGGTGAGTAAGATGGTGCACCTCGGGTGCTTGCAGGGCAGAGTAGGGCAGAGGCTGCCATGTCTCTCGCTCCACCATGATGCGCAGCAGCACCTATGCGGTGGGAAGGGATGGCATGGGGTTTAGAGGGAAAGGGATGCGCAGCACCTATGCGGTGGGAAGGGATGGCATGGGGTTTAGAGGGAAAGGGATGTGCAGCACCTATGCGGTGGGAAGGGATGGCATGGGGTTTAGAGGGAAAGGGATGTGCAGCACCTGCAGCATGGTGCGGGGCGGGAGGGGGAGATGGGTGGGGCACTTTGTTGGTTTCGCGGACGAGGGTGGAGCGGGCGGATGTGAGATGGTGCACGGCACGCCAGGGGCTCGACGGGAAGGAGGTGGGAGTGGGAAGGGAAGGAGGTGGGAGTGGGAAGGGCTGCTGTGTCTTGCGCTCCAACATCATACGGAGAACCTGGGCAGGGATGGGGAAAGGGGAGGAGGGCAAAACATGAGAGCCCATATTGGCCCTCAGGCTGTATGTCAGGGGCTTGCAACGCTGGAAAGGAGGGAAGAGCCTGTACACACACACTGTACATGTACATGTACACTCCACCAATGTACATGTACACACACACACACACACACACACACACACACATACACACACACACACACACACACACACATACACACACACACACACACACACACACACACACACACACACACACAAACCCACCCACTCAGATGTGTAGATACATGCAGGCCCACATTATCTCTCACCTCCAGCACCTGTCTGTGGTAGTTCTTAAAGAACTGATCGCATTGCTGGCCCATCTTGGCCATCAGGCGCACACATGCACGGAAAAAAACATATGTACACACTTACTCACTCGCTCACACATCACCTCACCTCCAGCGCCTGGCGATGGTGGTTCTTAAAGAGCTGGTCGCACTGCCGGTGCATCTTGGCCCTGCCTCTCAAACACATAGACATAAACACTCATACACACAGACACACATACCCACATTCTCACTCACATCCAGCGCCTGCCGATGGTAGTTCTTAAAGAACTGGTCGCACTGCCGGCCCATCTTGGCCCTCAGGCTCCCCGCCTCTGCTTGGGTGAACGCCTCCCCTGCCAGAACAAAGTCCTCCACGAGACACAGGATCTGGGGGGATGAGGAGCACAGGGGAGGGGAGCACAAGGAGGGAGCAGGGCATCAGGCACACCAGGACACATGTGGCTCCCTGCCTCTGCTTGCGTGAACGCCTCTCCAGATAGCACGAAGTCTTCCACGAGACACAGGATCGGAGGGGATGAGGAGCACAGGGGAGGGGAGCACAAGAGCGAGTGGGGCATTAGGTGAAGTGAAGGGCATCAGGCGCATCGGGACATATGCGGCTCCCCGCCTCTGCTTGGGTGAACGCCTCCCCTGCCAGCTCGAAGTCTTCCACGAGGCACAGGATCTGAGGGCACAGGATCTGAGGGCACAGGATCTGAGGGCACAGGATCTGAGGGCACAGGATCTGAGGGCACAGGATCTGAGGGCACAGGATCTGAGAGCACAGGATCTGAGAGCACAGGATCTGAGAGCACAGGATCTGAGAGCACAGGATCTGAGAGCACAGGATCTGAGGGCACAGGATCTGAGGGCACAGGATCTGAGAGCACAGGATCTGAGGGCACAGGATCTGAGGGCACAGGGGCGGGGGGCACAGGGGCGGGGGGCACAGGGGCGGGGGGCACAGGGGCGGGGGGCACAGGGGCGGGGGGCACAGGGGCGGGGGGCACAGGGGCGGGGGCACAGGGGCGGGGGGCACAGGGGCGGGGGGCACAGGGGCGGGGGGCACAGGGGCGGGGGGCACAGGGGCGGGGGGCACAGGGGCGGGGGGCACAGGGGCGGGGGGCACAGGGGCGGGGGGCACAGGGGCGGGGGGCACAGGGGCGGGGGGCACAGGGGCGGGGGGCACAGGGGCGGGGGGCACAGGGGCGGGGGGCACAGGGGCGGGGGGCACAGGGGCGGGGGGCACAGGGGCGGGGGCACAGGGGCGGGGGGCACAGGGGCGGGGGGCACAGGGGCGGGGGGCACAGGGGCGGGGGGCACAGGGCCGGGGGGGCACAGGGCCGGGGGGGCACGGGGGAGGGGGCAGCAAAAGAAGGATGGGTCATAGGTCCATCAGGACCATTTGGAGAGAAGGGGAGAGAAGACGTTCAACATCAAGAACAAGGCATCTAAACGCCAACGTCAAGTCCTCCTTCACTAGACACAGAACTTTGGAGCCCAGGGGAAGGGAGACGAGGTTTGAGTCGACTCCAACGTCACCTCGAGAAGACGCTCAACATCAAGAACAAGGCATCTAAACGCCAACGTCAAGGCCTCCTTCCTAGGCACAGAACTTTGGAGCCCAGGGGAGGGAAGACGAGGTTTGAGTCAACTCAAACGTCACCTCGAGAAGACGCTCAACATCAAGAACAAGGCATCTAAACGCCAACGTCAAGTCCTCCTTCACTAGACACAGAACTTTGGAGCCCTGGGGAGGGTAGCCCACCTGGAGAAACTGTTCCGAAGTGCCGCAGCACACAGGAGGGGCGGACAGCCACCCTGCGGGCAGCCTGCTGGGATACCGTCTTCCTGCCTTGATGTGCGTCGGAACGAGAGAGAGAGAGGGATAACGGGACACCCACCCACCTGCAGGAACTGTTCCGAAGTGCCCGAGCAGACTGGCGGGGCGGACAGCAGAGCAGCCACCCTGCGAGCAGCCAGCTCCCACACCGCCTTCCTGCCCGTCTCCAGAGCCCCCCTCACTGCCGCTGCTGCCGCCTCCCGCACAGCTGGTGTGAGCTCCCTGGCCGGCGACGGCACAGCTGGCACCAGCTCATTGGCTGGAGAAGGCACTGCGGCTAGGCTAGCAGGCGCAGCAGCAGCAGCAGCAGCAGCAGCAGCAGAGTCATCGGCAGCAGGCTCTTTCCCCTTGAGTGGCCCCCCTAGTGGTGGCGCACTTTCGCCCTGCTGGCCCTGCACGAGCTTGCTTTTGCCTCCTCCTTCCCTTCCTCTCTCTCTAGCCGCACCTCCCTCCTCCTCTCCTCCCGCTTTCCCTTCCAACCTGTCCACGTCATCCTGGACGTCATGCAGAAAATCCCACTGCCCGCCACCGCTGCCACTGGCCCCCACCACCCTATCACTCATACCACCACCGCTTCCACTAGCGCCCACCACTCTCGTAACCGTGCCGTCACCACTGGTGCCACCCCCAGTGCCACCCCCCGTGCCACGAAGACAACCGCTGCTCTTATCCATCGTATCGCCCTGTACTCTCGTTTCTCCCACCGAAACACCATCCACCCCAGCAGGGGCAGCAGCAGCAGTGCCGTCGCTGTCGACGGTGCTGGCACCGACGTTGGTTGTGACGGTGGTGGGTGCAACGCTGTTGGGTGCCAGTGATTCAGCGTCAGGTGTAGTGGGATGCGCATGCGCCTGTGGTGTGACGTCAAAGACAACAGCCTGCACCTTTGGTAAGCACAAGGAGTCCTCGAATCTGTCCGGGACAGGACTGCCCTCCTCACTCTCCCTGCCCTTACTACTACCGCCCTGTGCCTGTGCTGTGCTGCTCGTGCTACCCTTGCTGCTGCTTGCAATTGTATTGCTGCAGCTAGCGCTAACCTTGCTGCTGTTTGCGCTCGCCTGCGTGCCTCGCTGGTCAGGGGTCGAGGAGGAGGAGGGGGGGAGTGGGGATGGGGCTGTGGCAACAGTGGTGGTGGTTGATGTTGCTAGGGTGCTTATTGGCGTGTGCTGTAGGGCAGTGGGAGGAGCAGCAGTGGACACCTGAGGAATGAGTGGGGAAAGAAGGTACAGGGAGAGGAAACGTGAGAGCGTGTATGGGGAGGAAAGGAAAGGCATGGGCAGGAGGAAGGGCAGTAGATATTGTCAGAAGTCGGCTCAAATACCATGCTGGAGTGGGTTTAGGCAGTGGGTTATTATCCTTACAATCTTGAGCAGTCGGGTAATTAATAACCCATCTTCTGCAATGGGTGATGTTAACTGTCTTAAAAAGAAAATAAAAAACCTTCCCATCTCAACCAGTGAGTAGTCCTTACTGTCTTGAGCAGCGGGCTGCGGGCCGTCATCACGACGTGGTGTGAGCACAAGCTCAAAGACAGGCACAAAGCGGTGCCTGCCAGCCCTTGCTACAAGTGAACACCCAAGCCCTCTTGAGCAGCAGACTTGTACGAGCCCAAGCAAGCCAACCAACACATACCGTCTTGAGCAGCAGGTGCCTGGCGGTCATCAAGACGTGGTGCGAGCACATGAGCTAAACAGTGGTGACAGCTCATACAAATCACTCAACACTTACTGTCTTGAGCAGCGGGTGATGGGCGATCATCATGACATGGTGCGAGCACATGAGCTCAAACACAAGCTCCATGGTGCGGATGAGGCAGAGAAAGAAGAAGCGGTCCGACAGCTGCCCGCACAGCTCGCTGTATGCCATTCTGTGGTACATAGGTGTGCAGGGGGGTGACAAGGGGTACAGAGGTTCAGAAGTGCACCGGTCAAACACGGTCACCATGGTGCAAATGAGACGACGAAGTGATCGGCAGCTGCCTGCACAGTTTGCTGTATGTTATGCTATCCTGCGGCCAGAGGGTGCAACAAGGGGGCGGGGGGAGAGGAGCAGGGGTGGTGTCTCTGTCACTAATGGCACAGGGGTTTTAAGAAGGGGTTAAGAATGACAAATTAATGCAGGGGCATCGACGAATTGTGATTGCAGAGAGAAACATGGAATGGCAGAATTTGTGGTGCTTGAATTGCGAGGTTTGATTTGCGACGTTTGAAGGATGTCCACAACTATAACTGCAACTGACTCAGGCGGCGGATGGTGCTGCAGTTGCGAGAATGATCTGCCGATAAAGACGAGCGACGATGAGCTCACTGCAAGGAAGAGCAAGGCTACACGGAGTATACAAGCCTTAGTGAAAACGGAAGGGTTATGGGAGGGCTCAAAACCAGGCATACCTGCTTCTTCTGGCGTCGTCCTCTGAGCTTCCCTGCACATATTAAAAGATGAATAGAACAGAGGACGTCAGCATGTGTACAAAACATGCTAGCCAAACAGGGGTGGTGATAATAACCATGTCTTGTCGTACAATGCCACGGCGAAAACAGCCACCCACCCGTCATCCACACCCCACCCGCCCGCCTGCTCGACGAACTGCAGGAGGACCCGCCCCACCCAGCAGGACGCCGTAGGTCCCTGTACCCACACCGCCTGCAAGAAGTTGTGCACGTGCCTACCACTCACACACTCGCCTGCTGCGCCATGTAATGCTCATGCCCTGCATGACACCCACCTGCTCCATGAACTGCAGCAGGATGTCCTAGGTCTCTGTAATGCTCAGCTCACTTATATTCAAACACTCGCCTGCAGGCTGCAGCGTCGCATAATGCTACCGCACAGCACTGCACATCGCACGCACCCACCTGCTCAACGAACTGCATCAGGATGTCAGAGGTCTCTGTGACCACCGCTTGGGAGAAGAAGTTGTGCACCTGACATATACTGCAAATGCGCTCACCACACCACACCACACCGCACCGCACCACATTAAAAGCGCCAATGCAGCACCCACCTGCTCCACGAACTGCAGCAAAATGTCGTAGGTCTCCGTGACCACCGCTTGCGAGAAGAAGTTGTGCACCTTCTCTGCCAGGGCTGGCAGCCCGTTCATCACTGCGTATGAGTCAAGCACCTGGGAGCGAGAGGAAGGGGGGAAGAGAGCAGTGTGAAAGGGAGCAGCTGTGAAACGCTGCTCTGCACCACCACGCACGCACGAGATGCTACCGTGATACTGACTGTAGCATTTGGTGCTACTGACCGTGGCATAGGCGGCGGGGCTGTAGCGATGGCAAAAAGTGAAGAGACTGCGTTTGAGTTGACTAAAAAGCCAACACATTGCATGCTGCTGTGCTACTGACCGTGGCATAAGTGGCGGGGCTGTAGCGATGGCAAGCAGAGAGGAGGCTGCGTTTGAGTCGACTCAAGCGCCAACACATTCCGTGCTGCTGTGGGTAACTGTGTTACTGACCGTGGCATAGGCGGTGGGGTTGTAGCGGCGGCAGACAGTGAAGAGAATGGCGTCCACCTCATCCACCACTCGAGCTAGCCACCCCTGGAGTATGATAAGATAGAGTGCAGCACAGCACAAGACAGCACAAGGCACAGCAGAGCGGCAGGCAACACTGGTGAGTGGCGGCAACGCGGACAGTGAAGAGAATGGCGTCCACCTCGTCCACGACTCGCGCTAGCCACCCCTGGAGTATGGTAAGGTAGAGTGGAGGGGAGTGGAGTGGAGGGGAGTGGAGTGGAGTGGAGTGGAGTGGAATGGAGTGGAGTGGAGTGGAGTGGAGTGGAGTACCACAGCAGGCACAGCACGATGCAAGGTAAGACAGATGAGTGGAAGCCCCTATTCATCTCGCCACCCTCCTCCTCCCCCCTATCCACTTTGCCTCTTCCCTCCCCTGACCGGGGATTCTCCCCTCTCCTCTTCGCCCCCCCTCCCCCTCCCCCTCCCCCTACTCCTCCTCACCCCCCAGCTGCTGCTCGTATCGCCTATGGCCCATAGCCCTCTGCGCTGCTCCATCAGCAAATTTTCTTCCTCAAAGCCGCTGCTCATGCCCGCTATGGCCCACCCCAGAGCCCTCCGCTCGGCCTTTGAATCGACTTAAAAGCACTATGGCCCACCCCAGAGCCCTCTGCTCGGCACTGCGAGCGCAGCCTTGCTTTCTCCATTCACTACTACCATTCCCTCAACCCTCCCTCCTCCCCCCCCTCACCTCCAAGCTGCTGCTCATGTCCCCTATGGCCCACAGCCCTCGGCTCTGCTCCACCAGCACGAGGCACAGCGAGCACAGCTGCAGGGCCACCAGCCCACCTCCACTACCCTCCCTCCCCACCCCTCCCTACCCTCTTGGTTCTACCCCTCCCTACCCCTCCCTACCCCTCCCTACCCCTCTTCCCCCCCCCTCACCTCGAGACTGCTGCTCATGTCCCCTATAGCCCACAGCCCCCGGTTCTGCTCCACCAGCACGAGGCACCGCGAGCACAGCTGCAGGGCCACCAGCCCACCTCCACTACCCTCCCTCCCCACCCCTCCCTACCCTCTTGGTTCTACCCCTCCCTACCCCTCCCTACCCCTCCCTACCCCTCTTCCCCCCCCCCTCACCTCGAGACTGCTGCTCATGTCCCCTATAGCCCACAGCCCCCGGTTCTGCTCCACCAGCACGAGGCACCGCGAGCACAGCTGCAGGGCTGCAGGGTAGTCGCCCCCCTCGACCAGCTGCTGCAGCTGGGCCTTCATCCGCGCTATCTGCTTCATTTGCTGCAGCATGGGGATCATGCTCTGGGACAAGCGGACATTGTTTTGGGGGGGGGGGGGAGAGGGGGGGGGATCAAAGGCGTCATAGGGCTGCGGAGTAGTCGCCCAACCCCCACTAGTTGCTGCAGCTGAGCCTTCATCCGCGCTATCTGCTTCACGTGCTGCAGCAGCATGGGGATCATGCTCTGGGGACGAACAGCGAGAGGTGAGGGTGTATTTTGAGTCGACTCAAAATACACCTTTTGAGTCGACTCAAAATACACCTTTTGAGTCGACTCAAAATACACCTTTTGAGTCGACTCAAAATACACCTGAGCCTTCATCCGCGCTATCTGCTTCATGTGCTGCAGCAGCACGGGGATCATGCTCTGGGGACGAACAGCGAGAGGTGAGGAAGGAGAGGGGAAGGGGAAAGTGCAGGGGTAGACACGTCTCTCCCTCCAGTCGCTGCAGCTGAGCTTTCTTAAGGGGGATATGCGCCGAGCTGGTTATTGAGAATTCTCAAAAACCCAATTGAGAGGGGGGGTTGGACAGGTTTCTTTCTCCAGCTTCTTCAGTTGGAGGAGGCTTCCACCATGCTCCAGGCGGATGACAATTTTCCTTGAGAAAGATAACTTCATGCAACATGGCTCCTTGATTTGTAAAGCACACACACAGTGGCCATGAACGTGCGCTATACCCACCCACCAAATCGTCTCCAAAAAAAACCCTCGCCACAATCCACTTACAGTGGCCATGCGAACCTTCTGCATGCTGTTGGATACAATAAGGTTCTTCGAATCGACTGAGAGGGTGTAATTCGAGTTGACTCAGAACCCACCCACCCACCACTCGTGCCTAAACCCCTTGCTGCACCCTACTCTAATCACAGTGGCCATGCGTTTCTAGACTCAAGGCTCACAGTGGCCATGCGTGATACCCACTCACTCGTTTCCAGATTTCTAGACCCCTCGCTGCACTGCACTCTACTCACAGTGGCCATGCGCTTCTTCTGCACGTTGTTGGACACAAAGGGCTTCTGTTTTAGTCAACTCAAGAGGTTGTTTGAGTTTGACACAATCTAGCCGTGCCCACCCACCCACCCACCCACCCCCTCGCTGCACTGCACTCTACTCACGGTGGCCATGCGCTTCTTCTGCACGTTGTTGGACACAACGAGGTTCTTTGAGATGTCCTTGCGTGCGCTGTTGAGCAGCCGGCGGGTGTTCTGAGAGGGTGGGGAGAGGAAGGGGAGGGCGACGAAGGGGAGGGCGAGAAATGGGAGGGAAATGGCAGGTGATACTCCCAACGAGGTTCTTTGAGATGCCCTTGCGCGCTCTGTTCAGCAGCCGGCGGGTGTTCTGACAAGGACGGGGGGAGAGGGTTGAGTGATCGCAGCACAGGGGAAGAAACACTAATATGCTCGTTGTGAGTCAACTAGAAAGCACGCTCCTAGAAAGCACACTCCTAGAAAGCACGCTCCTAGAAAGCACGCTCCTAGAAACAATTCGAAACAGTTCAACAGCCGGGAGAAGTCTGAAACAGAGGGTGGGCGAGAAGGGGTCTAGTTTTGAGGCGTCTCGGAACAGTTCAGCAACCGGCAGATGACATAGAGCACTACTTAGTACTCACCCTGCAGATGACATAGAGCACTTGGAGGTCCCTCTCCAGCTCGGCAAAGAGGTTCATTCCTTGCACTACGGGCAATACATATTGCTCTACTCCTTCCCCTCCCCACCAGGGGGAAATTACATGGAGCACTGCTCAACTCAGCTCACCCTGCAGATGACATAGAGCACTTGGAGGTCCCTCTCCAGCTCGGCAAAGAGGTTCATTCCTTGCACTACGGGCAATACATATTGCTCTACTCCTTCCCCTCCCCACCAGGGGGAAATCACATGGAGCACTGCTCAACTCAGCTCACCCTGCAGATGACATAGAGCACTTGGAGGTCCCTCTCAAGCTCCGCAAAGAGGTTCATCCCTTGCACTGGAGGAGGAAGGCAGGGGCAAGGGCAGTCGGGGGATGGTGATAGGGCAGCAGCACGGGTGTAAAAGATAGCCAAGAGGATGGCAGTCAGGCTCCAGCGCCGCAAAGAGGTTCACCCTTGCACAAAAGGTAGCGACGGCCGGGGGGGAAGCGGGGGAGCGGGAGGGGGGGAGGGCGGGGGGGAGGAGAGGATGGCTGCAGAGGGAGAGGATGGCGGCATGAGAGTTGCAACTCTCATCTCATGGAAGAAGGGAGTTGCTTTTTGAGGCGCCTCAAAAATCGTCTCAGTTTTTTAGGCGGCTCAGGAGCCGCTACCGCAGGGGTGAAACGATGGATGGCATGGAAGAAGGGAGATCGTACGCGCAGGGGTAAGCTTTTGAGTCGACTCAAGCAAAGAAGAAGGCAACAGGCCACAATAGTGGCATGGCAAGCATGCAACACTAGAAACTTCTACCCTCCCCCCCCCCTCCCCCCTTCTTCCCCTTGCCCCCCCCCCCACCCCTCCCACCGGCACCCACCCATTTCTTCGTGGTGACTCATCACTTGAGACGCCAGCTGTTCCGACACCTCGTCCAGCTGTAACTGGCGCTTGCCACACTGCCACGTCAGCACCAGATGGCATAGAAGCAGCCAAAGCCAATTGAGTTACAAGAAGGATGAATCGAAAGAAATGAAACTGTGCACCTGCGGCCTCTGGTGCACCCTTTGAAATGAAACAGTGCACGCTTTGAAAGGCGTGCATACCTGCGGCCTCTGGTGCATACCTGCGGTCTGTGGTGCATACCTGCGGCCTCTGGTGCACACCTGCGCCCCTCAGGTGGACACACCAGGTTGCATACCTGTGTTCCAAGGTGCTGCAAGGAGAGAGGACCCTCTGGAAGCTCCTCCAGCGCACAGCGAACCGGGTCAAAGTCCTGTAACGCGGATAAACGAAGAAGGAAGACGGCCTTTTGGAAATAGGAACTGAAGTCCTGATACGAGCATTATAGAGAGAGCAGCATACTGAGAACGCAGTGATACCAAGGAGGTGGGCAAGAAGGGGGAGGAGGGGGGGTGGGAGGGGGGGGGAGGGAGGGGGGGGGGGGGGGGGGAAGAGAAAGAGGGGAGTGGGCGGAGGGTGGAAAGAATGAGGAGGTGAGGGGGAGAGAGGGATACAAAAAGATGATGGCAACCTCGCAGTTCAACAGCCTGTGAGCCAACGGTCCTTTTCACGCACCCCGTCAAAGAAGCACGCATCCACCCACCGGCTCTGCCTGCCTGCTCTGTTTGCTCAGCCTGCACTCCTGAGGCACGCATGCGGCACGCCTAGCAAGCAGGTACACCTAGCAAGCAGGCACACCTGCTGCTGGCACTGAGGCCCTAACGCTCCCGGGCGAGCTCTCACCTCTCACCCTAGCAAAGCACTCTGGCAGAGAAACGTGCAACTACCGGCCCCGCCTGCTCCGGCCACACCAAACGCCTGCTGGCACACACATATTCCCACCAACACTCACACCTTTCCTTCCCACTATACTATACAAGCACTACCTCCTTCCTCCCTTGCGCTGGAAAAGCCATCTGTAACAAGAGCGCGCAATGAGCGGCTCTGGCTGCTCTGCCTGACCCCAAAACACAACCCCGCCCATTCCAAGCACGCACTTCCACTGCACTGCATGCCAACCCTCGCTATAGCTCCCCCTATATAAGCACCTCGTTAAAGAAGCACGCATCTAGCGGCTCCGCCTGCTCCGCCTGCATGGGTCGCAGCGATGACATGCCAGCTAGGATCCCCAGTGACGTGTTCATGGATGACGTGGCAGATAAGGGCGGAGACTCGTCCACGTCATCCAGGGCCCCTCCTCCCCCCCCAATCCCGCTGCTGCTTGTCCGAGTCACCATGGCCCACAGCCCTCCAATCCCCCCTCCTCCTCCCACCCCTCCCCCTCCTGCTGATCCCCCTCTCCCCCTTCCCCCTGCTCCCCCTCCGCCGCCTCCCCCAGTGAGCATGGGAGATACCGCCCCCCCTTGATGCGACCTGCGGAGGGGGAGGGGCTTCCTATGGAGTCTTGGCGGGAGGCAGGGGGAACAGGGGAGGAGGAGGGACCGAGGGAGAAAGGGGAGGTGAGGAAGGAGATGACGTCAGCAGCAGTGGTGCGAGGGGAAGGCTGGGAAAGCCGCGACTGCTGCTGCTGCTGCTGCTGGTTGTGATGGTTGTGGTGGTTGGTCTGGGGTGGGGAGGTGAAGAGCGAGAGGACGCTGAACCCTGGAGAGGCAGGGGAGGAGGCGGACTGAGTGCGTGTGAGAGCGGTACTACCGCCAGCACCACCAAGAGTACCTGCTCCGCCTATCCTCCCATACGCGCCATCACCAGACCGACCATCCCCACCGCTACCACCACCACCACCACCACCACCACTGCTGCTTGCCCCAAAGCCACCAGCGCTGCTGCTACTGCTCTGGTTCTCGAACCTGATCTCGTCTAGGGTTATGTGCAGCTCCGCTGCTGCTACCGCCGCAGCAGCAGCCGCATGGGAAGGGGGAGGCTGCGGGCGGACAGGGGGGGATTCGTACGTGGCGGAGCGGGATGGAGGGACGCGCGGGGTGGGGGCAGGAGGCGGACGGCCACGATCAGGCGCGGCGATGGATAAGGACCGTTGGATGTTCTTGAAGAAGGAAGAGCCTCCCCCTGCTCCAGCTCCGAGGAAACCACCAGGGCCTGTTCCCATGAACCCTCCAGTACCGAAACTCTTGAAACCACCACCACCACCACCACCACCACCACCACCACCATTACTGCTGCCACTACCATCCGCACCACCGCCCCCAATCCCAAGCCCTCCGATTCCTCCAATTCCGCCTAAATTCAGCCCCCCTCCCCCCAAGGTAAACCCGCCTCTGCTTCCGCCGCTGCTGGTGGTGTCGCTGGTGGTGCTGCTAATGGGCCCGTTGGGTCCCCATGGACGCCTGCGACTGGTGGCTGCTGCTGCGGGCGATGGAGGCTCCTGTGATAATAGCGGATGTGACATAGTGGACGGAAGATAATGATGGTGAGGTATAGAGGCAGACTAGGGCAGCGAAATAGTAGCTTCACCAAATAAAGATTGACTCGAGGTAAACGCATTAGAGTGAAATAGGGTTACATAAAGTTACAAGCGTGAAATCTTTTGAGCTGAAAATGACGCACTTGATCGTAGAAACCTCCGCCTGAGCCGCCTTGCAGCCGATTGAGCGGATCGTTTATCAACTTCTCCGCAAATCGTCGAAACCCGTCCATCCTTCAGGGGCGCTCCTTCTTAGCAGCAAATTAATCAGATTGAAAGGCTCACAGCCTCGCGCCGATCGCTATCAGCAGACGGCTAGTCCGGGTTGAAGGTTGAAAGCGCTATGAGGCAACCACGATCCGTTATGAATGCTCGATAGTTATTAGGGTCTCAAGTCGATATTTGAGGCGCCTAAAAAAAGGCCCTCAAGTCGAGAAGACAGCCCGAAACTGTGCCTTGTTCGAATTGGCCGGATCGGTCACAAAATCATTGGCCGGAAATCGATGTCGTCGGTCTCAGATGTCAAACTGGACATCAGTATATTCGCATCCCAGGCTTGCAATGGCTATGCACGTGCGAAATCATGGTTTCAAACACTAAGGCGGGGAGTAAGAGCCCAAACCGCTAGTGAGTGGATCCTTATTCCTGTTCCTGAATCTGTTACCTACAGACTTACTCGGACCATCAAGCTTGGGTGTTAGGGTAGTGTTAGCCTGCGTGTCAATCTGGGGTACAGCCTACCTGACTCGTGGAGGCAGATAGTGCCCGCGTGTCAGGCTAGTTTGACGCTGGTTAGCAACATTTCCAGACCTCCCATACCGGTCAAAATCGCGTCTACCAGTCAACTTTAGTGTCGCATACACCGACAGCCGAAAAGCCACAAATATTTGCGAACAAATTAGCATGCCCCACGACCCTGATTTGCGACTGACGATCTTGTAATAAATCTCGCGAGCGCCCCACGACCTCGCTAGTGCCACCAGACGTCAATTTCCGAGGCCCTGACGTCAATGGTCGCGCAGTGGCTGTTAGGTCGACCTGTCCCACGGTCAGCTACCAACACCGTGACACGTAGTCTAACTCCGCCCTCACACAGATTTTGTTTCGAGGAAATTGAGGTTCCGGTTGCAGCTTGGGTGGTGGACTGACGAGCGGGGCTGGTTGGGGAAGAATTCGCGAAGACGGTTGAATTCGCATAACCACTTTCGCATCGCATTGGCTTGTCAGAATCGGGGGCTTGAGCCCACGAATCTAGCCAACCAGTGAAAGCCACGATTTCCAAACGGCCACACCACCACACCACACAGCAGATTTCGCGATTAGCATATTTCGCAATTAACCAATTTCGCTAGTACACCATTTTTGTTTTTGTATTTTACAAAACTATCATGCGGCGCATAACTGAATCTCGAAATTTTTGTAACGTGGGCAAAATCGACATTAGCAGGAAATCGGCACGTGGAGGCAATAATTGTGGGGGTAACATACCTTAACTCTAGTAGAACCAACAATGTTACCGGAACATCGCCGAGGGATCCTACACGTGATGAGCGACATTCGCCAAATGACACAACTTGACGTTGGTTAGGTGAGTATTATCCAGCACACAAGTAGCGACATAAAAAGAAACAGCCCATATAGAGGCACTGGTAGCGACAAAGGCCGACGTTTCTAGGACATGCAACCCAATAACTAGTAGAACAGCTAACCATCCTCCATCCACGACTGCCAAGTCATACTGTCTGAAACACCGGGCCCTCGCTCGACAGGCACAACATGCTCCACTGTCAAACAGCATCTCTACCTTCTAAGAGCATACAAAACAGGTCACACTAAGATGAAAGCAGTGGAAGAACACAAAAGAACACTGCCTGCTCTCGACCGAGCATAGCTTAGACTCGCGTGATTTACGAAACACAGCATAGGTAATCTTGCGACTTGTGACGCATGCCGACCTATGCCATTCGAGGCGATGTTCTCGCCCGATGCAATAAGAGTACTTTGAAATGATCGGCGACCATGAGTACAGGTGAACACAAAACACTAGGGTTGAGCCTTGGCCGCGACCACGAAACAACAGTACGATAGCGACGAACACGAAATCGCAGTACAAAGACATGGCGGCGAGGAAGAAACAACATCGGTTAGGCAGCTAATACGGGGGGGGAAGGAAGAGGGGAACAAGGGAGAGAGCAACCTGTGGAAATAGGATACATCTGTGAAAGTTTTGTAAAACAATACGGGTAGAACTGTATCCAAAACAAGGTGTATTTGACGGTTTCAGGCGCACTAGTTAGGATCATAAGGTCCTTCACTGGGACCTTGTGACACAAGCATTCCAGTTTAGGCCAAGCTTCCTGGTCCGTGGATATCCATCAAAGCTCGTCCTTACACGCGCCGGAGGGGGATTGGCTTAGCGAGGAAGCATTGGTAGGGATCATTCTCAGCGTAGAATACCGTAAGAATGGTCGCAACGGCACGAACGGGACGCGCCAGCTGGAATTCTTAGTTAGAACTCCCTCCAGCCTCGTTGTCCTGAAACTTTAGCTCATCATTCCGCAAATATTTCTAAAATCAAGCTCAGTCTCCTCGGTGTGTCAGAGCGATCCGGTGCTTGCATTCTGAGAGCGTGACCTGTAGACTCACCTAGACGAACAATTTGCTCTTCCTTGTGCGACCGCCTTAGCTGCACCGAAGGACGCCTCGAGGCAGCTATAGGATTTCCCATCGTCCTGTCAGGTAGTCGTTTCCGAGGTTCCGATCCGTTCCGTGTTGCAATGTTGCTGCGAATCACGTTCCAGGGTCCACCCGAACACACCCGACGCCCACAATGTAGGGTGTATTAGAATCTCGGAATCGGACTGATGTCGACCTACACATAGCGTACCTGAGTCTGACATTAGTGTCGTAAGTACCTAGCTCTAAACGTACGTGGCTGCTGCAGTCGCTGCTGGTGGCCGTCTGGCCATTGCGAGTGGCAATGGATGCACGCGACAGGCGACGGCTGTGGAAAAAAGTGAGCATCCATGCTAGTGACGGGGGGTTATTCACCATGCTCGCTTTTTTCCATCACCAGCAGCAGCAGCGACGACAGGGGGTTATTGCTAGTGACGGGTTAGTGCAAGTGGCAAGGGATGCACGCGACAGGCGACGGCTGTGGAAAAAGGTGGGCATGGTGGGAGGTTATTGCTAGTGACGGGTTAGTGCAAGTGGCAATGGATGCACGCGACACGCGACGGCTGTGGAAAAAGGTGGTTTCACAGAAGCTGGCTCTTCCTGGTTCTTTCGCCATCAGGCCGTCCCTTTTCTGCCACTTTTGAGTCAACTCAAAAGTCACCTCGTCCCTTTTCTGCCACTTCAACCACTTTTCTCGTTCCGCTCGACAGGTCCCACCCACGCACACGTCGCCTCTTACGCATTCGTTGCTCCTGCTGTTGTGTGCGATCGACCTTTTGCATGCCTTTTGTTATGAAGAATCCCTAAACGAATTGTAAAAATCTCTCCACTCATGCCTTGGGTTGAATGTGGGTGGCTGGATGGCGTGTGAGGAGGGGGGGGGGGAGAAGAGGGGGGAGGGTGGGGGAGGGGGGGAATAGTTGAGGGCAGCGAGGCGGCCAGAAGTGCAGCCGCCCATCTGGTTTGCGGCGTTTCGAGCATGCTGCTCTGTGCGCCGGATCACGTGCCTCTTCTTCCTCTACGTGCTCACCGTGCTGCTGCTCTGTGAGTGCTCCTCACCGTTCTTTTTGAATTGGCAGCAGGCTGCTTTCTAGCGCTCTAGCAAGTGTTATATGCTGCTCTGTGCGGCGGATCACGTGGCCCTATCTGCTCACTGTGCTGCTGTTGTGTAAGTGCTCCTAGCCACTCTTTTTGACTTGGAACAGGCTGCTTTCCAGCAAGTGTCTAATGCCGCTCCCTGCGACGGATCATGTGCATCTTCTTCCTCTCTCTGCTCGCCAACTTGAACCAGCTCTCTCAGCGAGGGCATGTTCTGCGACCACCACCCCTTGAACCAGCGCTCTCATCCTCTCAGCGAGGGCATGTTCTGGGACCACCACCCCTTGAACCAGCGCTCTCATCCTCTCAGCGAGGGCATGTTCTGGGACCACCACCCCTTGAACCAGCGCTCTCATCCTCTCAGCGAGGGCATGTTCTGGGACCACCACCCCTTGAACCAGCTCTCTCATCCTCTCAGCGAGGGCATGTTCTGGGACCACCACCCCTTGAACCAGCGCTCTCATCCTCTCAGCGAGGGCATGTTCTGGGACCACCACCCCTTGAACCAGCTCTCTCTCATCCTCTCACGGTCTCACTGTCCTTGTGTGTACTGTCACTCACTCTCACCCCACCTGACGAGGTGGGGGAAGTGGGCCGCATGTGTCTTGCGGACCTCTCCTAAGATGATTTTCGAGTCGACTAAAAAATCACCTATCCTAAGAGTGCCCCACGGAGGGCATGTTCTGTTCTGGAACCACCTATCACATCCTGTTGTCTCTGCATCAGCTGCCTCCTGTTCCCCCCTCTGGTTTCACACTTGTCTTTTCCGAACCTCCCTGCTTGCTCCAGATGAGATCGGGGGAGTGGGCCACATGTGTCCGGCGGATCTCTCGTGCGAGTACCCCACGGAGGGCATGTTCTGGGACCACCCCATGCTGCCTCGCAAGCCCCCTCGAGTCGTCCGCTCCTACCTCGTCAACGCCTCCGCCGCCGCTGCTATTGCTGCCGCTGCTGCTGGCAATGCTACTGGCTCTGGCGCTGCTGGCAGGGGAAGGGGCAGGCACCGTCTAGGAGCAGCAGGAGCAACAGGGGGAGGAGCAGGAGGCAGGGCAGCAGCAGGGGGAGCAGCAGGGGGAGCAGGGGGGGGAGCAAGAGGGGGAGAAAGAGGGGGAGCAGCAGGGGATGCAGCAGCAGGGGGTGTGGAGGAGCAGGTACTAGTGGTGGAGCAGGAGGAGGAGGAATACGTGGTGGGGGGGCATCTGCTGGTGCAGGAGACAGGGGAGGGGCCCGAGAAGCCTGAGAGCTGCGTGGAGCTCTGTGGGAACGTGCCGGACTGCGCCTTCTGGATGTATGATATGGGCAGTGAGAAAGGTGAGCTTGGATGGCTGGATACCATAATGGGACGGTTGGGGCATGACGTGGTGGCGTGCCGGACTGCGCCTTCTGGATGTATGATATGGGCAGTGAGAAAGGCGAGGCTTTGCTCATTGCACGGTCTGTGAGAGAGATTGGGGGTCTTGTGCTGTTCTGTGTGGTGTGTGCATATGAGGTGGTTCGAGTTGATCCAAGTGTGGAGCTCTGTGGGACACGTGCCTGACTGTGCTTTCTGGATGCGTGACATGGGCAGTGAGAAAGGTGAGAGGGTATAGTAATAGTACTGAGTGGTGTGTGCAGATGAGATGGTATGAGTTGTACCAAGTGTGGCCCACTGTGGATAAAACAGGTGCCGAACTACGCCTTCTGGATGTGTGACATGCGCAGTGAGAAAGGTGAGGAGGTATAGTACTGTGTGGTGTGTGTGTATGTGGTAATTTGACTTGAACCAGATGTGGAGTGGAGCTCTATGGGTGGGACGCGTGCTGGATTGTGCCTTCTGGATGTGGGCAGTGCTTATGGGATTGCTCTATGGGAAAGTGCTGGACTGTGCCTTCTGGATGTATGGCCTTCTGGATGTGTGGCCTTCTGGGTGCATCATATCATGTATGACATGGGAAGTGCGGAGCAGAAGGTAAGAAGTGTGGTGTTAAGCGTATGGCTCTGAGGGATGCGTGCTGGACTGTGCCTTCTGGATGTGTGACATGGGCAGTGAGAAAGGTGAGGGGCGTATATCTATCGTGTGGTGTGTGCGTATGTGATGATTTTCCTTGAACCACATGTGGACTGTGCCTTCTGGATGTGTGCATATGTGATGATTTTCCTTGAACCACATGTGGACTGTGCCTTCTGGATGTATGGCCTTCTGGATGTGTGCGTATGTGATGATTTTCCTTGAACCACATGTGGACTGTGCCTTCTGGATGTATGGCCTTCTGGATGTGTGCATATGTGATGATTTTCCTTGAACCACATGTGGACTGTGCCTTCTGGATGTACGACATGGGTAGAGTGGGTGGGGAAGGTGAAGGGTGCAGTGGAAGCGCTGATGTTTAGGCTTCTTGAATGGGTGGCATATAGCGGGCGGGCAGTCGAGACGTGCTTCTGTGGCAGGCACGTGCCACTCTGCGTTTCGTGAAGAGGATGTTTTATTCTTTAGAATTCTCAGAATCTAGAACACAGAATTCTCAAAAGTCGAGACGTGCTTCTGTGGCAGGCACGTGCCACTCTGCGTGTCGAATCGTGAAGACTTGAAGGCGAGACGAATGGTGCTTGCTTGCCACACTGCTTTCAAGTCTTCCATTAGCTTCCCCTCAGTTTTGAGGCGCCTCAAAACTAGTCTTCCATTAGCTTCCCCTCAGTTTTGAGGCGCCTCAAAACTAGTCTTCCATTAGCTTCCCCTCAGTTTTGAGGCGCCTCAAAACTAGTCTTCCATTAGCTTCCCCTCAGTTTTGAGGTGCCTCAAAACTAGTCTTCCATTAGCTTCCCCTCAGTTTTGAGGCGCCTCAAAACTAGTCTTCCATTAGCTTCCCCTCAGTTTTGAGGCGCCTCAAAACTAGTCTTCCATTAGCTTCCCCTCAGTTTTGAGGCGCCTCAAAACTAGTCTTCCATTAGCTTCCCCTCTCATTCATCACCCATCAGCAGATGATTTTTGAGTCGACTCAAAAGTGTATAATCCGTGTGTAATGAGTCGATTTTTGAGTCGACCAAAAAATGGTGCTCGCTTGCTTGCCACACTGCTTTCAAGTCTTTCATTAGCTTCCCCTCAGCAGACTTGAAAGCAGTGTGGCAAGCAAGCACCATTCGTCCCCTCTCGTTCAGCACCCATCAGCAGATGAGAGCATGTGCGGGCAGCGGCTCGCTTCCCTCTCCTTTCAACCTTCCTTTGCTCCCCAACATTCCCAAGGCTACTGCAAGCTGTGGGCGGCAGATCAGAACCCATGCGAGCCCAGGGAGGGTGTTCCTGCGTTGGGCTGCCTGTCTTTCACAGCGGTGGCTGGTGCGCAACCGGTACCTGGTGGTGGGGTACTGCCCTAACCCTCGCCTTGCCTCCCTCCCCTATTCCCTAACCCCAAGGCTACTGCAAGCTGTGGGCAGCGGACCAAAACCCATGTGAGCCAAGAGAGTGGGTTCTATTGGGTCGGGCGGCGCACTTTGCGTGGCAGTGGCTAGTGCGCAACCGGTTGGTGGGGGGGTACTGCCGCCACCGCTCCTATCCCACACCCTCCCTCCCTCCCTGCCTCCTTCTCTTCCAGGCTACTGCAAGCTGTGGGCGGCGGATCAGAACCCGTGTGAACCAAGAGAGTGGGTGCTGCTGGGTCGGGCGGCGCACTTTGCGCAGCGGTGGCTGGTGCGCAACCGGTACGTGGTGGGGGGGTACTGCCGCACGGTGGAGACGATGGAGGAGAAGCGAAGGAAGAGGAACGCCCCGCCGCCCCCACCACCCCCGCCTGAGGAAGAGGAGGAGGAGAAACGGATGGCTGAAGAAGACGTGGCCCGTGAGTGCTCTGGCGTGTTGTGCCTGTGATAATTTGAACTTCACCTGTACAGGCGTGGGACCCTCTTGCCCCCATGAACCCACCGAGCTTTTCCCCCACCCTCCCTGCATTTATCCCGTTCCCCTCTGCCCTTCTCTGCATGCCCCTGCAGTGGAAACCAACGAATGTCCCAAGCTGACGTGTAACACGGTAACGCGCGGTTACATGTTCGACCATGAGGGCAAGGGCCACTTCAACTTCACCTACACAGGCGTCGGGCCCTCCCGCCCCCACACCTGCTACCTGCTGTGCCGCAAGACGCTCGGCTGTGCGTTCTGGATGTACAACATGCGGTCAAAACGAGGTGGGTAGTTTGGGCTATAACTCAAGATCGCTTCAGTCAGGCCTGCTCCTTCCTCCCGCCCCCACACCTGCTACCCGCTGTGCCGCAAGACGCTCGGCTGTGCGTTCTGGATGTACAACATGCAGTCAAAACGAGGTGGGTAGTTTGGGCTATAACTCAAGATCGCTTCAGTCAGGCCTGCTCCTTCCTCCCGCCCCCACACCTGCTACCCGCTGTGCCGCAAGACGCTCGGCTGTGCGTTCTGGATGTACAACATGCGGTCAAAACGAGGTGGGTAAAGGCCAACATGTTTTGAGTTGAGTGAGACGGATGGGGCAGGGTATTGCCTCAATATTGCTTGAGTCGGCTCGGTTATGCCCAATATTGCTCGGCTCGGCTCAATATTGCCCCCCCAATCCTCAGACTTGCTACCTGAATGTGCTTCCTGTGGTGAATCTGCATGCCACAAGGTTTGAGATGCTTGCATGCGTGCAAGATGTGGATGAGGGGGCAGAACGCGGGTGAGCCAATAGGCACCTTTGATTCCATCATTCCACCGCGGCACACTATGTGGCAAAGCGACAGCCCATCCTTCCCACACCCCAGTCCCCTCACTCCTCGTTCCCTTCATCTGTGTCCATCAGGCGCGTGCAAGATGTGGACGAGGGAGCAGAACCCGTGTGAGCCCACCGACGCCTTTGACTCCACCACAGCGCACTACGTGGCTAAGCGGCCCACGGGGTCGTTTGTGATTGGTGGAAATTGCGACAAACTGCCGCCCATGAAGGGGGATGCAAAGGCTAGACAGGCGCAAATGGCACAGCAGCAGCAGGTGCGACAAGAACAGGTGCAGCAATAGCGTGTGCAACCAGCAATAGGGTCTTTCATATTGCAGTTTAAGTTACCTAAGCTCCAAATTACCCTCATCCCAAGAAGTAAAACAAGTGATATGTTATAAAGGGCCACCTGTCGTGCTTGCAAGGAGATTCTGTACTGCAGGTCACGAGAGCTAGGTAGCTAGGAACTGTAGGAAGCCACAAAAATGGCGTGAGGGTTTAGCTAGGAGAAAGTTGACAAGAGAAAAGAGAGCGAGAATAGAAGAGAGAGGCATACAAGGAGGGGGGTTGTACCCCCTACAGTTGGTTGCAATAACACCTACCAAGCCTACCAATTATACAACAAAATATATCATTTAACGGTGCTGTGCTCTTTGACATTGAAAACAAATATATTTGCAGCGTTTGTTGTCCGCCTTCTGTATGTTTAACGGTACCCATAGCTTTTTTTGCACCCTAGAATTTATGTGCCGTAAAAATGTGCTGCAGAATCAAAGTGCACTCCATGTGACAAAAATAGCAGTGAGCATGTTATTGTCAAACATGTGTAGTTATCATGTTTGTATAGACTGTATAGGGTCACCTTCTAGAGAGTACAACATTTAGGTATATGTTTGTGTACTCTCTCTCTCTAATCATTCAATTCTCTTTTTGATATGGTATCACGCGTAGGTAGGATCCCCCCCCCCCCCCCCCCCCTAACGCTTCCGCTTGCCCCCTAGCTGGGCCCCGTCGTGCTCCTAGCCCCGTCGCGACCCTCCCTAGACCCGTCGCGCCCCTATCTTAGACCCGTTGCGCCCCTCCCTGGGCCCCGTCGCGCCCCTCCTTGGCCCCCCCCCCCCCCCCCCCCCCCGTAGCGCCCCTCCTGGGCCCCGTCGTGCTCCTAGCCCCGTCGCGACCGTCCCTAGCCCCGTCGCGCCCCTTTCCCTAGACCCGTCGCGCCCCTCCCTGGGCCCTGTCGCGCCCCTCCCTGGGCCCCGTACCGCCCCTCCTGGGCCCCCGTCGTGCTCCTAGCCCTGTCGCGACCGTCCCTAGGCCCGTCGCGCCCCTTCCTGGGCCTCGTCGCGCCCCTCCTGGGCCCCCCATTGCGCCCCTCCTAGGCCCGTAGTGCCCCTCCTGGGCCCGTAGCGCCCCTCCTGGGCCCCCATTGCGCCCCTCCTGGGCCTCGCCGCGCCCCTCCTGGGCCCCCATTGCGCCCCTCCTGGGCCTCGCCGCGCCCCTCCTGGGCCCCCATTGCGCCCCTCCTGGGCCCGTAGCGCCCCTCCTGGGCCTGTTGCGCCCCTCCTGGGCCCTGCCGCGCTCCTCCCTGGGCCCCGTAGCCACCCTCCTGGGCCTCGTCGCGCCCCTCCTGGGCCCCTTCGCGCCCCTCCAGGGCCCCTGGCGTGCCCCTCCTGGGCCCCGTCGAGCCCCTGCTCGGCCCCGTCGCCCCAGCTCGGCCCTGTCGCGGCCTCTCGGCCCCGTGGCGCCCGCCCGGCCCCTGTCGCAGCTGCCCGGCCCCTGTCGCACCTGCCCGGCCCCGCCCCGCCCGCCCGGCCCCGTCGCCCCCGCCCGGCCCTGCTGTGTCCTGCCCGGCCCCGTCGCTGCCGCCCGGCCTTGTCGCTGCCGCCCGGCCCCGTCGCAGCCGCCCGGCCCCGTCGCAGCCGCCCGGCCCCGTCGCAGCCGCCCGGCCTCGTCGCTGCCGCCCGGCCCCGTCGCAGCCGCCCGGCCCCTCGTCGCGCCTGCCCGGCCCCGTCGCGCCTGCCCGGCCTCGTCGTGCCTGCCCGGCCCCGTCGCGCCTGCCCGGCCCCGTCGCGCCTGCCCGGTCCCGTCGCGCCTGCCCCGGCCCTCCATACTTCCTGGTACTGTCCCCCGTTCCCCGCACCACTTTGCACCCTCCTGCACTTTCCTGCCCCGCCTTGCACCGCGTTGCACCTCACTGGACCGCACTGACCGCACTGCACCGCACTGGACCGCACTGCACCGCACTGCATCGCACTGCACCGCACTGGACCGCACTGCACCGCACTGCATCGCACTGCACCGCACTGCACCGCCCTGCACCGCACTGCACAGCACTACACCGCACTCCACTGTCCTCCACTGCCCCTCATGGGTGCTGAGCTTCGTTTTGATGCTGAGGGTCAGCCTCTGGAGTTCGAGGCGTGGTTGGCTGACCTTCGCCGCCACCTCACTGGTCAGCGGCAGGACGGCCACCCGCTTTCTGCACACCTAGACGGTATGCTCCCCTGCCCTGACCCCCCTGCTGTGCTGCCCGCTGATCCCACGCCCGCTGAGCGCGAGTCCACTGCCGCCGCTGCCCTTGCCCGCTCTGTCTGGCTTTCCCGCGATGCCCTTGCTCAGCTCGCCATTAGCAATGCCCTCCCCCCCCCTGAGCGCCCTCGCTTTAGAACCATTACTACCGCCCAGGCCTACCTCGATGCTGTCATCAAGCGCTATTCTACCCCTCCTGCTGCCTCAGTGGGTCGCCTGATCCTCCCCCTGCTCTTTCCTGGCCTGGCGTCTTTCCCCACTGTCTCTGACCTCGCTGCCCACCTGCGCTCGATAGATGAGGCCTGGCGCGCTGCCTGCACTGATGCACAGCTTAGAGTCCACCAGCCTCCCATGACCTCTACCCTCTACCTCCTTGCCACCCGCCTCCCTGACCGCCTTGCCGCCGCCCGCGACCAGTTCCTTAGCATCCACCCTGCTGCTCTCACCCTCACCGACTTTGTTGACACCCTGACTGCCATAGAGACTCGTCACCGCTCCATAGCCCAGGCGAGCGGTACAGTACCGGTCCCTATCTTTCAGGGTTGTGCCCCCGCTCAGTGTACCTTCTCCGACGGCTCTGTCGCTGTGGCTGAGACTGCTGCTGCAGTGCAGTCCCGCTCGGGGAAGGGCCGCCGCCCCAAGGTTGGGAGCGGCGGAGGCGGCGGGGGTGCGGGTGGGGGTAGTGGTGGAGGCGGGTCGTCCGGTGCCGGTGCGGACGTGGGGACCCTGCCCGGTCCAGCTGCCCCGCTGCCTCCACCGTTGCAGCAGCAGCAGCAGCAGCAGTCGCCGCCTCCGCAGCAGCCGCAGCAGCCGCCGCAGACGAGGCCGGCGAGTGCTCTCCCGCCTGGGTGGCCTGGAGCTGGTGGTGGTCGTGCGCGTGGTGGTGCACCGGGTGGTGGTTCTGGAGGCGGGCCCTGTCAGTACCAGATCCAGACCGGTCCTCGCCGCGGTTTCGTTTGCGGTAAGATCGGTCATTCCACTCCTCGCTGTTTTCGTCGTCTGGACGACCTGTTCCGCCAGCGCTTTGGCCCGGCGCCCGACCTCCCGGACTGGCACAGCTTGCTTAGGCGTAGCATTCGGATTTTTGACTTGGACATGGATGCCATTGTAGCAGCCTTGCATGTGATGTATGCCGATGACTCTAGTGTGCTTCCCTCTTATTACCCCGTGTTGCCTAGTGTAGCTGTGCCTAGCGTAGACTCCCCTGCTGCGTCAGGCGTAGGATCTCCTGCTTTGCTTAGCCTCGGTGCTTCCACCGCTTCACTGTCGCCCCGCGCGACTGCTGCGCTTTCCTTCACCTTGGACTCTGGCGCCTCCCGGTGTTTCTTCCGCGACTCCACGACGCTGACGCCGCTGCCTGTTCCCGCCGCAGTTACTCTTGCTGACCCCTCCGGTGGTCCCGTCGTTGCCCGCAGTTCCACCTCCCTTCCCTGTCCGGCGGTTCCTTCAGGTTCGCTCACCGGTCTGCATATCCCCTCGTTCTCCAGGAACCTAGTTGGTGTCGGCTGCCTCCAGGACCTTGGCGTCACCACTACGTTCCCTGGTCACGAGCGGTATGCTGTCTGTACCGAGGCCGCCACTGGTGCCCCCCTCACCACTTTCCCCCGGGACCCGGTGTCCGGCCTGTTCACACTTGACACCGCGACGTCCCCGGCTGGGTCTTCCCCCCAGGTAGCTGCGTCCACCCAGGTTGCTGCTGCGTGCTCCTGTCGGTCCCTCACTCATCCGACTCTCCTTTGGCACCACCGCCTTGGTCACCCTGCACTCCCGCGTCTGCGTCACATGTCCCAGCACGGTCTCGTCCTTGGTCTCTCCGGTTCGCTCCCTGAGTTTCCCTCCTCCCCCGCCCCACCGTGCACGCCTTGTGTCGAGGGCCGGCTCCGCCGCGCCCCTCACTCCTCCTCTTTTCCCCCTACCACCGCACCCCTGCAGACTCTGCACATGGACGTCTGGGGCCCAGCCCCGGTCCATGGGCCGCGTCGCGAGCGCTTCTTCCTAGTGCTTGTCGACGACTTCACACGTTACACCACCGTCTTTCCCCTGGAGCGGAAGGCCGACGTGCCTGACGTTCTCATCCCCTGGCTTGTCTCTGCTCGTCTCCACCGCGGTCTCCCTGCCTTGCGCCTCCACTCCGACCGGGGTGGCGAGTTCGCCTCAGGTGTCCTTGGTCGCTTCTGTCGTGCGGAGGGCATCACCCAGACGTTTACCCTGCCGGACTCCCCGCAGCAGAATGGGGTCGCTGAGCGACGCATCGGTTTGGTCATGGAGGTGGCTCGCACCTCCATGATCCACGCCGGTGCACCCCATTTTCTGTGGCCGTTCGCCGTGCGCTACGCCGCTCACCAGCTTAACCTGTGGCCGCACCCCCAGCGGCCGCAGGTTTCGCCGACCCTTCTGTGGACCGGGTCCCCTGGTGACGCGTCTGCGTTCCACGTCTGGGGCTGCCTTGCTCACGTTCGTGCCTCTGGCACGGACAAGCTCACTGCCCGCACCCTCCCCTGCGTCTTCCTCGGTTTCCCCCTTGACGCGTCCGACTGGCACTTCTACCACCCGCCGTCTCACCGTTTCTTTCACTCTCGCGACGTCACCTTTGACGAGTCCGTCTCCTTCTACCGCCGCTTTCCCCACCGTGGTCCCCCGGTTACTCCCCCCCTGTTCCTGGTTCCTCCCTCCCTGGTGGCCCCTGCCCCCCCCCCCCCCCGCCCCGCCGTCCGGCCCCCTCTGGTGTGTCTCACGTCACCCCCCTCCCGTCGGTCGTTCCGGTCGACGAGTCTTCTGCCTCTGGTAGTCCTTTGGCGCAGTCCTCGCCGTCTGTCCCTCCCCCGGTGTCTCCTCCTCCATCGCCTCCGCAGCCGCCGTCGCCGCGGCTGCTGCTGCCGTCGTCTCCACCGCCGCCGCCGTTGCAGCCGTCGTCTCCGCTGCCGCCGCCGTCGCAGCCGTCGCTGCAGCCGCCGCCGCCGCCGCCGCTGTCGTCGCTGCCGCCGTTTGTGGACTCTGGGGGTGCTGGCGTTGAGGTGGGTACTAGTCGCGGGGCTCCAGTCGTGGCTTGTCCCGGCGGGCCTGGGGGTGGTACCGGTGCGGGTGGGGTTTCGGGCTCTGGGGGTGTCCCTTCTGGGGGTGCAGGTGTGGAGGGTTCGGGAGGTAGCCGTCGCGCAGCTTGTGGCTCTGGTGTTGGTGTTGTGTCGCTGCAGCAGCAGTCCCCGCCGGTGTCCGCCCTCCGTCTGCTCGGCCTTCCGTCCCCTGACCCTGCGCCTGTTCCTCTCCGGCCGTCTCCCCCTCTTCCCGTCTACGGCCCCGTGTTCCCTCCGCCGGACTCTTCCCCGGCTCGTTTTCCCCCTCGTTCCCCACCCGTTTCCCCTCCTCTGTCTCCTGACCCGACGCCGCCCTCTCACGTCTGGTCTCGCCGCCCCTCCCGTGCTCGTCCTGTCTCCCCCGTCCCGCGCACTCACCCTATGTTGCTCCGCTCCCACGCGTCTCGTCCTCCCCTCCTCCTGTCTCCTCCTCCGTCTTCTCTTGTCGTTGCGTCTCCTCCTCTGTCTGACTACTTTCGTGCCGCTCGTCCTCTTGTTCCTCGGGTCCTTGCCTCTCTCGTTACCGACCCGTCTGTTCCAGTGTCGAGTCTTGACGCCCTCGTCGCTGCGGTTGCTGACTTCGCTTCTACCCGCCGCCTTGACTACGCTTCCGCTCTGGTCTCTGACCCTGCCTGTCCTCCGTCCGTCGGGGGTGCTCCTGCCCTTGGCAGTGACGTCCTGGAGGACCGCCAGTTTGAGCTTGCTTTCCTGTCCGAGGCTGCTCCCCATCTCTGTTCCATGCTGCTAGTCCCTGAGGGTGACCCAGACGCTTTTGACATCCCGACCCCTCGTACTTACGCTGAGGCGGTTTCGGGACCCTGGGCCTCTCAGTGGATAGCTGCCATGGAGCAGGAGATGGCATCTTGGAGATCCACCGGCACCTTCGTCGACGCAGTTCCCCCACCTGGGGTGAACGTGGTCGATGGCCGTTGGCTCTTCAAGGTGAAGCGCCCTCCTGGAGAGCCGCCTGTGTTCAAGGCGCGTTACGTGGCTAGAGGCTTCAGTCAGCGCGAGGGGGTGGACTTCTTTCAGACTTTCGCTCCTACCCCGAAGATGACTACTCTTCGGGTTCTGCTACACGTAGCGGCTCAGCGTGACTACGAGCTTCACTCCCTCGACTTCTCCACTGCGTTTCTTCAGGGCAGCCTTCACGAGCAGGTCTACCTGCGTCGTCCTCAGGGCTTTACTGGCACCTTCCCCCTGGGACCCAGTGGCTTCTGCGGCGCCCAGTCTACGGCCTGCGCCAGGCGCCTCGTGAGTGGCACGACACGCTGCGTGCTACCCTTGCTGACCTGCAGTTCTTTCCGTCCTCTGCAGACCCCTCGCTCTTCGTTCGTGCTGGCTCGACTCCGTTCTACATCCTCGTCTACGTAGACGACCTGGTCTTTGCCACAGCTGACAGGGACGCACTGGCCTCCGTGAAGGCAGAGCTGCTGAAGAGACACACCTGCACTGACCTTGGAGAGCTGCGCCGTTACCTTGGCTTGCAGATCTCCAGGGACAGAGCCGCCGCACCATCACCCTGACTCAGTCACACTTGGTGCGCCAGGTCCTTCAGAGGTTCGGCCTTCAGTTCTCCTCCGCACAGCCCACCCCTCTTCCTCTGGACCACAGACTTTCCGCTCCAGTTCCTGAGGAGTCGGTAGATCCCAGTGGTCCTTACGCTGAGCTAGTGGGTTGCCTCATGTACCTGATGACTTGCACTCGCCCAGATCTCGCATACCCTCTCAGCATCCTGGCTCGTTTTGTGGCCACAGGCAGACACCGACCTCAGCACTGGTCTGCCGCTAAGAGGGTTTTGCGTTATCTTGCAAGTACATCGGGCATGGGGTTAGTGCTAGGCGGACGCAGGCCAGTGGTCCTTACTGGACACACAGACGCTTCTTGGGCAGACGACGCCGAGACGCTCAGGTCTTCCCAGGGCTACTGCTTTAGCCTTGGCTCAGGTGCTGTCTCGTGGAGAGCTACCCGCTCCTCGTCTGTTGCCCAGTCCAGCTGTGAGGCTGAGATCTACGCCGGTGCCATGGCGGCACAGGAGCTCCGCTGGCTGACCTTCTTGCTCACTGACTTAGGTGAGCGGCCTAGCTCTGCCCCGGTCCTGTACGCTGACAACAGGGCCATGATTCTCCTGTGTCAGGAGCCTCGACTCGAGGGCAGAGCGAAGCACATCCAGCTGCGGTACTTCCTCCTGCGCGAGCTACAGCAGCGTCGCCAGGCTCGCGTAGTACACTTGGCCTCCGGTGCCAACACAGCTGATATCTTTACGAAGGCGCTTGCGCCTAAAGATCATCAGCGGCACTGTGTACAGCTGGGTCTGGTTCCTGTAGTCTCTCACTTACTCGGGCCTTGACTTTGTACTGTCGTATATATATATGTATACACTCAGACTGGACTTGTGTCCTCTCACAGTGGTTGGACTAGTAGTGCCGCCCTGTACTAGTTCTTGCCTTGTCTGTACTCCTTCTGACTGGTCTTTTAGACCCTTGTCTCAGAGGCTGGACTAGTAGTGCCACCCTGAGCTGCTTGTCTAGAACATTCCCCTATGCAGTCCAGGGGGTGTGTCAAACATGTGTAGTTATCATGTTTGTATAGACTGTATAGGGTCACCTTCTAGAGAGTACAACATTTAGGTATATGTTTGTGTACTCTCTCTCTCTAATCATTCAATTCTCTTTTTGATAGTTATAACCAATTTCTTCAACGTTTGGTTGTGAAGTTTGGTCTATGACCTCACGTACGAATGATTTTTTTGTTTGCACTATCTGGCGTCATGTGAATTATTGCGTTTCGTAACCCCGGTGGAGGACCACCCAATCCAACACCCCACCAAAGCCTTGCCAGAACCACCACAACTGCAACTGAAGTCTCTCGACTCAAGCAACTTGTCAGAGCAGGTTGCAAGCATAAAATGGTTGAGACTACAACTTCTGTGGAGCTAGACGTTAGAATCAGGAGTGCCGTTCGAAATCGTAGTCCGCCATGGTTTGATCAGTGTATCTGCATGGTTTGATCAGCTGCAACTGCATGGTTTGATCGGCTGCAACTGCATGCTTCGCGTCATCCCCGAGGTAGGTGCTTCACCTTCCGGTTCCTCGGTCTCTCAACTGCTCCGCTTTCTCTCCGCCGGCGCGATTATTGACGGGAGCTGAGCGGCTAGCCTGTCGCTCACCTCCGTGCTTCCGGAGTGGCTCTCTCTGTGCCTCAGAATCCAGCACAAACGTCATAGACGGATTCGGCTGGTTGTAGATCGCTAGAGCCTTGACTGGCTCGATCCTTCACGGGATTGGGCCTTAATGGGCTCGTGCTTTCTCCCGGCTCGAATTTCGCATATTCCATCGCCATAACGAGCGGCTTCGCTGCAATTACGTTTTTGGACAGACCATGCGAGTAACATGTATGTTATATTCCGTTACTTTCCGGCTAACTTTCTTATCCATTCTTTGCTTGCATTTTGCAGGTGTGCGACGGTATGTGAAAGCCAACTGCAACTACCAACTCAGGTTAGTACCTGCCTGCTGCCTTCGAGTCTTCCTGCCAGGCCTTCTGGCAAGAGGTATCTAGGTCCAATCCCTTAATAATGGATTTGACTCTTCGAATCCTTGCCAAGATAGCAGGCAGTCGCGACGCGGTCCTGATGGTCAATCTCAGGGCTGCTACTTATTTCTGCCGACATTGCGAGTGCTGCAGGAGTTGCTTTCGTTTTGATATTCCGCTCGAGAATGGAGTGGCTAACAGCGATCGTTTTCCTGAATGCAGGTACTTCATGGCGCTCTTTGCCCCTCGTATTCATTCTACCGTTAATGTTGCTCGTAGGAGTTCGTTCTTGATTGAGCCTTGTAATTCTTTTTGTGATACGTCTACTTCCCGGCATTTTTGTTGGGGGAATGTTCAACTGCGGATGCCACGTAAGGAATAGGGGCAAACCTTCGCTGTAGCAGTAAGTGTTGGGACATATCTCACCATGGCCAATATTCTATTGCGTCGTGGAGAATAAAACCCGCGGCCCAAATTGTGAGGCCCGGTATTCAAACGCACTGCGTTTTAAAGTAGCGCTTTCGTGGGTGTAGAGTGGGGTAACGTGTGTCTCACCACTCTGGGGGTTCCTTTCGAGGTTCACTGCGTGCTGCAATTTGGAACTACATGTGTAGCACCCTTTTCGACCGTCCACTTTTTACAGATCTGGATCTGACGGTCCGCACGCAAACTCTTGTATCCAAAACACCACCAGTAATTCGGAGTTCAAACTCAACTGTCGAAAATCTTGGGGTCGAATCTGACGGTGCACGATCTCTCTGCAGTTCACAAGGAAAAACACCCTCACGATTTTCCCATGCGAGTCGTAAAACAACACGCCCATAGTTCTTGGACAGTGCGTTTGAAGAATTTGGGCCGCGGGTTTTAATTCATACTGGTACAATCCATGTACAGAACAAAGTATCATACCGGTACCTCAGGCATGTATATACATACACACTATTGTACATGGTCAGACTTCGCGACATGTGCAACACATCCTAAGTCTTTGTAGGAAAGTTGCACCTGGCACCAGCACCTCGCATCTTCCTAGCCGCAGCATCATAGGCCCGGGCCGCCTCCTCAGCTGTGTCAAAGCTGCCGAGCCACAGCCGGCGCTTCGTGGTCGGGTCCCGAGCCTCCGCCGCCCACTTGCCAGACGGGCGCTGGCGCACGCCTCTAAATAGTTGGGACTGTACAGAGGAAGATGAGCTGAGTTGTGACTGTATCGAGGAGACTGGATGTAGAGCAGTGGTAGCAGGCCCAAGACCAGCAGCAGATGCAGGTGAGGCTGCTGCTGGTGCTACAGCTGCTGCTGTTGGAACAAGTGGGACTGGGGACACTAAGAGTTGCTGCTTTTGCTGCTGCTGCTGCTGCTGCATGTGCTGGTGATGCTGGTGATGCTGATGTTGGTGATGCTGCTGATGGTGATGCTGATGTTGGTGATGCTGCTGATGGTGATGCTGATGTTGGTGATGCTGCTGATGGTGATGCTGATGTTGGTGATGCTGCTGATGGTGATGCTCCTGATGGTGATAATGCTGGTGAGGCCGGTAATGCTGGTACTGATGCTGCCCGTAGGGAGTGGGCCCTGCTTCTGGCATGTGAAGTGGAGCGGGGGGAGGGGGGGCAGGGACGGGCGTGCCAATAACAGGTGCAGCAGGAGGCGCTGCTACAGCCACTGGAGGGTTGGGTGATACACCCATGCTGGAAGGAGGGAAAGAATGCGCTACAACCATTGGAGGAGGGGGGGCTACAACCATTGGAGGAGGGGGAGGCGGGGGGGCTGACATAGCCATTGGCACCATGACCACCATTGGTCGGTATGTGATGCCAGGTGTCGGCGCATGATAGGCTGGTGGCGGTGGGGGGTGAGGAAAAGTGTGGTGGTGGTGGTGAGGCATTGAGTGGGAGACTGCATAATGCTGCTGGCGGTGCTGCAACTGCTGCTGCTGCTGCTGGTGGTGGTGCTGCTGTTGTTGTTGCTGCTGCTGCAGCTGTTGTTGGCGTTGCTGTTGCTGCTGCTGCTTCTGCTGTTGAGGTGGGAGATGAAGGGGGGTGAAGCCAGACGGTGCAGCAGGTGATGCAGCTGGAGCAGGGAGAGAGGCAGGGGCAGGGGCAGGGGCAGGGGCAGGGGCAGGGGCAGGGGCAGGGGCAAGGGTGGGTTTGGGGCACGGAGAAGACTTGAGAGGAGAGGCAACAGCTGGTGCCACATTCGCTGGTGCTGATGCTGCCACTAGTGCTGCGGGTGCTGCCACTGCCGGTGCTGCCACTGCCAGCGCTGCCACTGGTGGTGCCACTGGTGCTGCCACTGGTGCTGGTGGTGGCGACACCTGGTCTAGTGTTGTTGATGAGGCAACAGCTCGAGCCGGGGGGGGCAGTGGCACTGATGGCGTTGCAGAGGCCACAACCGGTGAAGGTACGTCTTCAGGTACATCTGCAGGTACATCTGCAGGTACGACTGCAGGTACATCAGCAGGAGCGGATCGAGCAGATACCTCGTGAACCGAGGCAGAGCTTACAGCAACGCAGTCCATAGTAGCAGCATCACACTCCGGACCTAGGCTGCCAGGAGCTGAGCTGGCAGGAGCTGAGCTGGAAGGAGCTGAGCTGGAAGGAGTTGAGTTGGCAGGAGCTGAGCTGGCAGGAACTGAGCTGGCAGCAGCCTCAACCTCTGGCGTTGCTTCCAAGGGAGCCACGTCAGCCACTTGGCACGTGGTGCTGCTGCTACTGCTCCTTCTGGTCCCTTCCTCTTCCCCTACTTCCTCCTCCTCCTCATTCTCCTCTCCCTTCTCTCTCCCCTCCTCTTCCACCTCGCCCCCCTCTGTCACCACCACCACACCAACCTCCTCCTCCTCTTCCTCCATCACCCCCCCCTCTTCCGCTCCCCCGTCCGCCCCAACCTCCGCCTCCGCTTCCGCCTCTCCCCCGACCTCCGCCACCACCACTCCGCCAATCTCCTCCGGGCCGCACAGCTTCCGCCACGCCGCCAGCTTCGTGCGGTACCGCCCCTTGGCGCACGCCGCCACCGCCAGCGCCATCTTCCCCAGCTGCGCCTTATCCTCGGGGTCCTCCGGGTCCAGCGGGAAGTTAGTCTTAGCCCAGGGGCCTCTTAACCGCCGCGTCGCGATGTCGTACGCGCGCGCGGCTTCCTCCGCGGTGTCGAAGCTCCCCAGCCACAGGCGCCGCCGCGCGAAGGGGTCGCGCACCTCCGCCGCCCACCGCCCCCACAGCCGCTGGCGGATCCCGCGGAAGCGGCGCCCGAGCTTCCCGATCCCCCCCGCGCCCGCGCCCGCCCGCTTCAAGCGCGTAGGAGAATCGACCAAGTTGGTTCCGCGCGGATCGACGGCATGATTCTCCTCCGATGCTGCTGCTGCTGCTGCTCCCGCTCCCGCGGCTGCTGCTGCTGCTGCCGCTGGTACTACCAGTGGTGCTGCTGTTCGCTGCGAAACCTCTTTCGCTCTCCCCTCCTCTGCTCCGTTGCCTCGCCCCGCCATCCGATGGGTCATGGCTCGCAGCGGCAGGTCCAGAATAGCAGCAGCTGCTGCAGCTGTCGCAGCTGTCGCAGCTGTCGCAGCTGTCGCAGCTGTCGCAGCTGTCGCAGCTGCTGCGGTCACGTCGCTCTCCCTTGCTAACACGTCGGCCGCCACCTGGGCATCGCACATGTCTGCTGCTGCAGCCACGTCATTGCCAGTCGGACTGCAGCCGGCAGATGCAGGAGTACGAGGCGCGGGAGAAGCCGCCACGTCATCACTTGCAACAGAGACAGCCCGGTCCGCGAATAAGGCGAGCTCACGTGGCATCATGGATTGAGGCGCCTCGGACGGTACCGGATTTCTCGGCAGGAAGTCGGCCAATCGCGGCGAGTCCGGCGATCGGCTCGAGCCGCTCTCGCTGACCACGGAATCCGATTTGAAATGTCTTCCAAGAGGCTCCTTTATTAGAGGCTCCGCTAAAAGAGACTCGTTAAGCCGCTCGTCGTGACACGTCATTCCGTCCGTCCGTCTACGCTTGGACCAATCGCATCGCAGATCGCCTCCAGCACCCAATAGCGCCAGTGTCGCTTGTTGCCGGCTGGCGACATCATGATCGCATCGCGGCGCATAACCCTCTCCTTCCAGAGCCGTTTCTCCTTCGCCCGAATCGCTTATCAATCGCAGCGTTCGCATCGGCGTCGCACAGCCCGTCTCAGCTGTCCTCAGCGTCGCACAATCGCCACCCGCCGCCACGTGAGCATCGCGCGGAAGCACGTCATGCTGAGTCACGCTCCACTTCATCCACGCGCCGCTCCCTCTGATACCCACCAACGGACTCGCCGTCCGCCGCGGCGGCGGCAGACTGTCTCCGCTCCGCTCCGTCACGGTGACGTCATCATTCCCCGATATAGACATCCTCGTTAAACCGGGAAGCTCGTCAGCCTCGCCGGCCGCACACGCCGCGTCATCTCCGGTATTGCTACGGCAACGGAAGCACGACGAGCTTTCAGAATGACGAAACAGGCAGGAGCCGCCGCCACCGCCGCCGCCGCCGCCGCTGCTGCTGCAGTCCAGACGTAGAAGAAAAGAAGGCTGGCAGGTTGTCAGCGCCGCCGGTCGTTCCCGAGTCAACTCCTCCGCGGCTCGCCTCTTCCCGCCGCCGCCAATCCCTAGGCCAAGCGACACTGCCGCCGATCCGCTTCTGGTGTCTTCCGCCGATCTCGTGCTCCGGCGGTCGACGGCGGACAACGCGAGGGATAAGGAGAGGCGCGAGTTCATTTCCGCCGCCGCCGCCGCCTCCGCTGATGCAGCTGAGGGGGAAGCGGAAGCGGGCGGAAGGGGGGAGGGGATGCGCAGCAGCAGCAGCTTAGGCGTGGCGGAGGAGGAGGACAGCGCGGGCGGCAGGGTGGATGGGAGCGACGGGTTGGGCGGGAGGGCAGGCGGCGAGGGAATATTACTGAGAGACAGCGCGAGGTCGAGAGGCGCGGGTGCCGGGGCTGGGGTCAGGCCGTGGGATCGAGACAGAGACAGGGGGAGTCGGCGGAGGGGGATGGGGCGGAGGACCGTGGCTAGGCGGCTGTCACGCTCGAAAACGGTTTCCTTGGTGCCGTTCAACGCGCCGTTCAACGCGCCGCCGTTGGTCATTTTTGCAAACTCGTTCCTGTCTTCGTCGCGAATTGTGAAGCCGGTCGCTAGTGCGGCAGCCATGGCAGCATAATCGAACTGGTAACGCTGATAATTTCGGAAGTCTTAGATCGCCCGTACTGGTACCGAAGAAAGTCGTCCGCTAACTTTCACTTGACCTTAACAGACGTTCTTAAGAGAAGAGTAATAGAATACTGGCCTTTGAAGTACCCTTCAGGCAATGCTTATGGCAGAATGGGTCTTGTAGGCGCTCGATCACTACTACGTGTAGTGGAAATTTTCGTACTTCTAGTACTACTTGTCTGGTGCGCAGAGGACAGTTTGGGTTAGGCAAGCCACAGGCCTCGCGGCTAACGAAACGATGATAAGGAATGGGTACACGATTCCGCCTCTGACGACGGCGGCTCGTATGATTCGAACTAAGCTTAGCGCTAGTAAGCTCGGACTATTCCCAGCGTGACGGGGCCTCGGCGTTTGCCTCCACATCTGCATCTGGCAGATGCAGCGAACGAGTCTGTACGAAACTGCGCGCTGAGCAAGATTCGAATTTCCGCGCACGGAGGGTAAAACGTCAGGAAAACGGGCGAATGGCGTGCTGCTGTGCTGTGCTGCACTCTCTACTGGAGGCTGCTGCTCTCTCAGACTAAACCGTCAACGCATCAGGCTAGCGACTCCTATCGTTGCTGCGGTTGCTCTAGCGCCCGATGATCACACTTCACAACGCAGGGAGCGTCAGCAGCAGCACTCATCATCCTCCTCTCCCTCCTCCGCCTCTTCCCCCTCGTCCTCGCGACGAGCTGTCGTGCAGCTGATAGTAGGTACGGTATTCCCAGGGAATTCTCAGCGGATTCTGACTCTGTCTTTCAGCCCCGCCGCTGGGAGTCTGGTCTGGGGTTTTCCTTTCCTAGGGATTGGGAGGGAGTTCCCTAGAGCCGCACTTCGCGGCTGGCCTTCAACCTTGGAAGGAGGGGTCAGCTCAGCTCAGCTGGACCCGCTGCTCTGCCGCTGCTTCTCCGTCGCAACGCAACGCAACCCAACCAGTGGTTTGCCACGCCATGACAGCGCTGCACGGTTTCGAAAATGGGCGGCGGGTTGCGTTGCAAAATCGCGATGGCGCAAGCCGCGGCGGATGGGTCACGGGAGGGCAGGATGCGGCGCTTCTGATCGTCGTCGGTGTGTACAGTACACTGCAGGGGGACGGCTGGCAGTGGCGGGCAGGAGAACACTCAGCCGGAAACCCCAGTCCGAGCGTGGCTCCAAGGGGCCGTTGGAGTCCAGTCTTAGAGGTGCAGCAGCGCAGACAGACGGGCGCTTCCAGGAGCAAAGAATGGTAGGCGCAGCAGCACGCTAAGCGAGGATCTCCAGCTCAGCGCCTCTGGGGCGCCAACGCCAACGCCAACGCCAACGCCAACGCCAATCCCGCAGGCGGGAGCAGGCGGAGGGACTAAAAGGGCACAACATCTGGGGTAGGTTTGCGACGACGATGGGAGAGGGCGAAGAACGCCCCGAGCAAAAGGCGCACTAGGAGGTCGGAGAATAATGGACAGGTTCTCTGTTTCTTGTGTATTGGGTTTGTTGCACTTCTCAAGGGGGGGCATAGCTGCCAGTGAGAACTCTCATTCTCGCCAAGTGAACTGAATTGGGTGGTGTAATGCGTCGAACCGCGCTCTCCTCAACCAAATCCTCACATTGACTACAGCGCTCCGAGAAAATGCAGCGCATTGAGACGCCGCGCCTCCCTCTCCCACACTGTCTACATGGCGAGGGTGACTGCGGTATTCTCGATGTGGTGAGACGGAATTCGGCTCACACGGCGAACCAGTAGACACGCGCCATCGTGACGGGACCTGATTGGCCTGCTGGCTGCTTCATATACTGACTCAGCTAAGAATAATGGATGCTGCTGCTGATCGTCTGGTCTGGACAAGAAGCGAAACTCCGAACCTGCCCACACGTGGGCCGAGCCTACCACGTCAGATGGTCGAACAGCGAACATTGCCATCACCACAATGCAAACTAAACATGCTGCACGAAACTGGCCGTCGATTTCTATCCAGGTGAAACATCGACCGCCAATACTAGCGCGACAGGAGGATGGTGTCTAGGAGCACTGTCCTCGAAAGCATATTTTCGAGAACTGTAATGAAGCGCAAAACAGTAAAGAGGAAATAATACCAATTTAGGCAACATCAAAACATCACGGAGCATGGATATAGCTAGCATAGAGCACACGGTCTTGGCTCGGCAGAGCAGCAACGTGTGGTTTGTAAATTGGCGCAAAGAGCCCAGATCTAGGCATGAAACAGCAAAACGGGAAAAATGTATGCGACTCGTCAGAAGGCTACCTTTGGGTACCGCGATTTGAAATTCGTGACAGAGCTGCGCGGCAACCCCGTTATATCAGTGTACGCCTTACTAACTAAAACTCCTGATAAGGAATTACCATTTCCTTACACCCTCTTCCCTCCGAGGTATGGTCTTGGCCAAGACCGCCAGCGTCGCGCACATTGATGTCGAAACATATGTTAGTATGTTATTGTAGACTATATAGGTTTGTGCCTTATAGGCTACAATACACTAGCCTATATTCCCTTGTACTCTCCCATTCTAATTATTCTATCATTCTAACATGGTATAATGAGTAGGTTAGGTCCCGTTTGCCCACCAGCGCTTCCGCCCTATGTCATAGCCGTCCGTTCCCCCTAGCCGGCCCGCCCCTAGTTGGCCGCTGGCCCGCGCCCGTCCCGTAGCCGGCCCTCGCGCCTGTCCCCTAGCCGGCCCTACGCCCGTCCCGTAGCCGGCCCTCGCGCTCGTCCCGTAGCCGTCTCGCGCCCGTCCCGTAGCCGACCTGCGCCCGCCCCGTAGTCGGCCCCGCGCTCGTCCCGTAGCCGGCTCACGCCTGCCCCGTAGCCGGCCAGCGCCCGCCCCGTAGTTGGCTCCGCGCCCGTCCCGTAGCTGGCCCGCGCCCGTCTCGTAGCCGGCCCCCGCCTGTCTCGAAGCCGGCCTGCGCCTGTCCCGTAGCCGGCCCCGTGCCTGTCCCGTAGCCGGCCCCGCGCCTGCCCCGTAGCCGGCCCTTTGCCCCCCCCGTTCCGGCCCGCGTCCGCCCCGTAGCCGGCCAGCGCCCGTCCTAGCCGGCCCGCGCCCGTCCCGTAGCCGGCCCGCGCCCGGCCAGTAGCCGGCCCCCCGCCCGTCCCGTCACCTGCCCGCGCCCGCCCCGTTACCGGCCCGCGCTCGTCCCGTAGCTGGCTTACGCCCACCCCGTATCTGGCCCGCGCCCGCCCCGTAGCCGGTCTGCGCTCGTCCCGTCGCCGGTCAGCGCTGGCCTTTCCAGCACACCGGCTCTGTCGCCCAGCTGCCCCTGACATGCAACCGACCCCTGCACTGTGCTGCACCGCGCTTCACCGCGCTGCACCGCCCAACACCGCATTGCACCGCTTTGCACCGCTCTGCACCGCACTGTACCGCTCTGCACCGCGCTGCACTGCACTGAACCGCACTACACCACACTGTACCGTACTGCACCGTACTGTACCGCACTGCACCGCACTGTACCGCATTGTTCTGCACTGCGCTGCCTCTGCATCGCTCCTGATGGCGGACTCGGTGCTACGCTTTGACGCGGAGGGTCAGCCGATCGAATCAGTCATGCCCTTCCCCTGTTTGAGCGTCCTCGCTTTAGGTCGTTCACGACTGCGCATGCATTCCTAGAGGCTGTTATTGCACGCTATTCCATTCCGTCCGCTGCCTCCGTCAGTCGCCTGATCCTGCCCCTGCTTTTTCCTGACCTCGCGTCTTTCCCCACTGTCGCTGACCTAGCCGCCCACTTGCGCACGCTAGACTCGACCTGGCGCTCTCCATGCACTGAGGCCCAGCTCTGCATGTTCCAGCCCCCCCTCTGTGCTACCCTCTACCTGCTTGCCACCCGCCTCCCTGACCGCCTTGCTACTGCCTGCGATCGTTTTCTTAGTCTCTACCCCGCCAACCTCACCCTCACTGACTTTGTCGACACCATGTCTGCCATAGAGACCCGCCAGCGCTCTATCGCCCAGTCCAGCGGTACTGTGCCGGTCTCTATTTTTCAGGGCTATGCACCCGCTCAGTCCACTTTCTCTGAAGCCTCTGCTGCTATGGCTGGGACAGCCGTTGCAGCGCAGTTTCGTCCGAGAAAGGGCAGCCGCCCCAAGGCTGGGCGTGGCGGTGGTAGTGGAGGCGGTGGGGGTGGAGGAGGTGGTGGAGCCGGGTCGCCCGCTGGGGGTGCGGACGAGGGTGCTGGGCTTGGCGCCGCCGAGCAGCAGTCTCACCAGCAGCAGCAAGTTTCACCGCAGGATCCGCAGCCGCGGCAGCAGCAGCAGCGGCGGGTTGGTCATCTCCCGCCCGGGTGGCCTGGAGCTGGTGGTGGCAGCGGTCGTAGTGGCCGTGCGCACGGCGTGACGTCGGGTGGTGGTTCGGGCAACGGGCGCTGCCAATACCAGCTCCAGACCGGTCCTCGCCATGGCCTTGTGTGCGGTAAGATCGGTCACACCCCCACCCGCTGTTTTTGTCGCCTGGACGACCTGTTTCATCTTCGCTTCGGCCCGTCGCCCGACCTCCCCGATTGGCTCAGCTTGCTCTGTCGGGGTGTTCAGATCTTTGATATGGACATGGATGAGATTAGTTAGGCGTTGTATGTGCTGTATGTCGATGACTCTAGTGTGATTGGTTCCGCTTACCCAGTATTGCCCTGTGTAGGTGTGCTTAGTTCAGACTCCCCTTCTGCGTCAGGCGTAGGATCCCCTGCTTTGCTTAGCCTAGGCTCCTCTCTTGCTCCTATGGCTCCTGCCACCACTGCCCCGCTCTCCTTCACCCTGGACTCCGATGCTTCCCGGTGCTTCTTCCGGGACTCCACTACTCTCACGCCGCTTACAGCTCCCGCCGCAGTTTCCCTGGCCGACCCTTCCTCAGGCCCTGTCGTTGCTCGTTGCTCCACTACCCTTCCCTGTCCACCGGCTCCTTCAGGCTCACTTACAAGCCTGCACATCCCCTCGTTCTCTAGGAACCTAGTTGGTGTCGGCTGCCTCCAGGACCTTGGCGTCAACACTACGTTCCCTGGTCACGAGCGGTACGTTGTCTGTACCGAGGCTGCCACTGGTACTCCCCTCACCACGTTCCCCCGGAACCCGGTGTCTGGCCTATTCACACTGGACACCGCCACCCCCCCCCCCCCCCCGGTTGTGACGTCTCCACACGTGCCTGTGTCTCCTTAGGTAGCTGCGGCTTGCTCATGTCGGTCGCTCACTCACACGACACTACTGTGGCACCACCACCTAGGTCACCCTGCCCTCCCCCGTCTTCGTCATATGTCTCAGCACGGTCTTGTTCTAGGTCTCCCTAGGTTGTTCCCTGCGCTCCCCTCCTCACGCGCGCTGCCGTGTTCCCCCTGCGTCGAGGGCCGGCTCCGCCGTGCCCCTCACTCCTCCTCGTTACCCCCCACCACCGCACCCTTGCAGACCTTGCACATGGACGTCTGGGGCCCTGCCCCTGTCCATGGGCCGCGTCGTGAGCGTTACTTTATCGTCCTTGTTGAGGACTACACTCGTTACACCACCGTGTTTCCCCTGGAGCGGAAGACCGACGTGCGTGACGTTCTTATCCCATGGCCTGTCTCTGCGCGTGTGCACCGAGGTCTCCCTGTGTTGCATCTTCACTCTGACGACGGTGGCGAGTTCGCCTCTGGTTGCCTTGGGCGTTTCTGTCGTATGGAGGGCATCACCCAGACGTTCACCTTGCCGGACTCTCCGCAACAGAATAGGGTCGCTGAGCGACGCATCGGTTTGGTTATGGAGGTGGCTCATACCTCCATGATCCATGCCGGTGCACCCCATTTTCTGTGGCCGTTCGTCGTTCGCTACGCCGCTCACCAGCTTAACCTCTGGCCGCATCCTCAGCGGCCCGAGTTTTCGCCGACTCTCCTCTGGACCGAGTCTCCTGGTGCCGCGTCGGTGTCTCACGTCTCGGGCTGCCTTGCTCATGTTCGTGGCTCTGGCACGGACAAGCTCACTGCCCGCACCATCCCCTGTGTCTTCCTAGGTTTCCCCCTCGACTCGTCTGACTGGCACTTCTACCACCCGCGGTCTCACCGTTTCTTTCACCCTCGCAACGTCACCTTTGACGAGGCCGTCTCCTTCTACCACCGTTTTCCCCATCGTGGTCCCCCGGTTACTCCCCCCCTGTTCCTGGTTCCCCCTCCCTCGGTCGTCCCTTCTTCCCAACCTCCCCGCCCTACCCCGTCTGGAGTGTCTCACG